TCAGGTTCAGTGTATCTAGATTTATTTTGAAGTCTTTGATCCATTTGGAGTTGAGTTTTGTGCAGTGATGAGTATAGATCTATTTGGATTCTTTTACATACAGGCATCCAGTTTGACCAGCACCATTTGTTGAAGATGCTTTCTTATTTTCAGTGTGTATTTCTGGCCTCTTTATAAAAAAAAAAAAGTCAGGTGTCCATAGGTGTATGGATTTATGGCTCGTCTTCAATTAGATTCCATTGATCAATATGTATGTGTTTGCGCCAATACTATGCTGTTTTTTATTACTATACCTCTGTAGTTCAACTTGAAATCAGGGTTGGGGATACCACCAGAAGTTCCTTTATTGTACAGGATAGTTTTAGTTATCCTGAGCTTTTTGTGTTCCCATATGAAGTTGAGAATTATCTGCTCAAGATCTGTGAAGAAGTGTGTTGGAATTTTGATGGGGATTGCATTGAATCTATACATTACTTTTGGTAGGATGGTCATTTTTACTGTATTAATCCTACAGATCCATGAGCATGGAGATCTTTCCTTCTTCTGATATCTTCTTCAATTTCTTTCTTCAGGCTTTAACATTTTTCTCATACAAGTCTTTCATTTGTTTGGCTAGTTACTCCAAGATATTTTACATTATTTGAGGCTATTGTGAAAGGTGTTGTTTCCCTGATTTCTTTCTCAGGCCATTTATCATTTATATATAGGAGGGTTATTAATTTTGTGAATTAATTTGTGTTCAGCTACTTTGCTGAAGGTGTTTATCAGCTGTAGGGGCTTTCCAGTGGAGTTTTTATGGTCACTTATGTATACTATTATATCATCTGCGAATAAAGATACTTTGACTTCTTCCTTTCCAGTTTATATTTCCTTGATCTCCTTTAGTTATCTTACTGTTCTAGCTAAGACTTCAAGTACTATATTGAATAGGTATGGAGAGTGGACGGCCTTGTCTTGTTCCTAATTTTAGTGGAATTGCTTTGTTTCTCTCTATTTAAATTGATGTCGGCTATGGACTTGCTGTAAGTTGCCTTTATTATGTTTAGGTATGCCTCTTTTATCCCTAATCCGAGTACTTTCATCATGAAGGCTGTTGGATTTTGTCAAAGGCTTTTTCAGCATGTAATAAAATGATCATGTGGTTTTTGTCTTTCAGTTTGTTTATATGGTGGATTACATTTATCGATTTGCATATGTTGAACCATCCCTGCATCTCTGGGATGAAGCCTACTTGATCATGCTGGATGATCTTTTTGATGTATTCTTGGATTCAGTTTGCAAGTATTTTATTGAGAATTTTTGCATCTATGTTTATAAGGGAAAGTGGTCTGTAATTCTCTTTCTTTGTTGGGTTTATGTGGTTTGGGTATCAGAGTAACTGGCCTCAAAAAGAATTGGGCAATGTTCCTCTGTTTCTATTTCATGGAAAAATTTGAAGAGTATTGGTGTTTACTCTTCTTTGGAAGTCTTGTAGAATTCTACACTAAAACCGTCTGGGTCTCAGCATTTTTTTTTTTGGTTGGGAGACTTAATTACTGCTTCTATTGAACTAGGGATTATAGGTCTGTTTAAATTGTTTATCTGACATTGATTTAACTTTGCTAAGTGGTATCTATTAAGAAAATTATCGATTCAGGCCCGGCAGCAGCCGGCAGAGACATACAGGCCCAGCGGCAGCCCGCAGAGGTAGACGGGCCCAGCGGCGGAGACAAGCAGACGCAGGTAGGCCTGTGGCAGTGGCCCACAGAGGTAGACAGGGCACTTAGTGCTATGAAATTGTCCTTAGAACCACTTTAATTCTGTCCCATAAGTTTGGGTATGTTGTATACCCCTTTTTGTTCAATTCTAGAAAGTCTTTCATTTGTGTCTTGACCCATTTTTCCATTCAGTAGTGAGTTGTTCAGTTTCCTTGAGTTCTTAAGCTTTCTGTTATTTTTGATATCCAGCTTTAACTGGATAACATGGTTATCAGATAGGATGCAGTGGTGTTATTTCATTTATTTTGTATCTGTTGAGACTTGCTTATGTCTCAATATGTGGCTAGTTTTAGAGAAAGTTCCATGATGTGCTGAGAACAATTTATATTCTTTTGTGTGGGGGTGAAATGTTCTGTAAATATCTGTTAGGTTCATTTGGTTTATAAAGTGAGTTAACTCCAGCATTTCTATGTGCAGTTTTTGTCTGGATGCCCTGTCTATTGGTCAGGTAGGGTATTGAAGTCTCCCACTATCAGTGTGTGAGAGCCAATATGTGATTTAAGCTGTAATAATATTTCTTTTATGAATTTGGCACTTGTGTTTGATGCATAGATGTTGAGAATTGCAGTGTCCTTGGTGGATTTTTCCTTTGATGAGTATGGAGTGTCCTTCCCTATCTCTTCTGGTTAGCTTTAGTTTGAAGTCTATTTTATCAGATATTAAAATGGCTACACCAGCTTGCTACTTAGTTCCATTTGCTTTGAATATCTTCTTCTATCCTTTTACCCCAGGTGATGTCTATCCTTGATGTTAAGGAGTGTTTCTTGGATGCCACAGAAGGATGGATCCTATTTTTGCATCCCTTCTGTTAGTCTATGTCTTTTATTGGGGAATTGAGACAATTGATGTTGAAAGATATCAATGAGCAGTGTTTATTGATTTCTGTTATTTTGTTGTTGGTGGTGGTGTTGGTGGTGGTGGTGGTGTGTGTGTATGTCCTCTTTTGATTTGCTGATCTGGGATTATTTATTCTTTGTGTTTTCTTGGATGTGGTTAACCTCTTTAGGTTGGTGTTTTCCTTATAGCACCTTCTGTAGGGCTGGATTTGTAGATAGATGTTGCTTAAATTTGGATTTATCATAGAATGTCTTTTTTCTCCATCTATTGTGATTGATAGTTTTGCTGGGTATACTAGTTTGGGCTGGCATCTGTAGCTTCTTAGAGTCTGTAGACTCTTCAGACCCTTCTGGCTTTTAGAGTTTCCATTGAGCAGTCAGGTGTCATTCTTATATGTCTGACTTCATATATTACTTGATCTTTTTCCCTTGCAGCTCTTAATATTCATTCTTTGTTCTGTAGGTTTAGTGTTTTGATTATTATGTGCCAAAGGGAATGTTTTTCTGGTCCAGTCTATTTGGTGTTCTGTATTGTTCTTGTACCTTGATAAGATATCTCCTTTAGAGTAGTGAAATTTCTATCCATTATTTTGTTGAAAATATTTTCTGTGCCTTTGACCTGTGTTTCTTCTCCTTCCTCTATTATTATTCTTAGATTTGGTCTTCCCATAATGTCCCAGATTTCTTGCATGTTTTGTGCCAGGATTTATGTTTAGATTTATTTTTAGATTTTCTTTGGCCCACGTATCTATCTCTTCAATTGTGTCTTTAATGCCTGAGATTTTCTTCCATCTCTTGTATTCTGTGAGGCTTGCCTCTGAGGGTCCTGTTCAGATTCCTAAATTTTTTCACTTCCAGATTTCCCTCAGTTTGGGTTTTTTTTATTGATTCTATTTCCAAGTTTTATTCATTTTCTTCCACTGTGTTTTCATAGACTCTTTAAGGAATCTATTCATTTCCTCTTTAAGAACTGCTAACATATTAATAAAGGCTATTTTAAGGTCTATTTCTTATGCTTCAGCTACGTTGCAATATCCAAGGCCCGTAGTAGGGTCGCTGAGCTCTAGTGGAGAGACATATTGTCCTGGCTATTACTGTGTTTTTATGTGGGTGTCCAGGCACCTGGGTTTGGGAAGATTGTAATTCTAGGTGTTGATATCTGTTCTTGTCTCTGTTGGGTGCAGGTTTCCTTCCTTGATTTCTTTTCCTTTGTCTGTTTTGTTTGTTTTAGTTTTAGTTTGTTTTTTCAAGACAGGGTTTCTCTGTGTAGTCCTGGCCCTCTCTGGTTCTTATTGCCAGGTAGGGAATTCTTCTGGAATCTTGATTGGTATGGCCACTGAGGGTTCCAAGTAAAATATGTTTCTAGATATTGAGATCTGATACTTAGGGAATGGGGATGGGCAAAGCGAGTGGCAGGGGAATCCCACAAGAGGATGAAAGCAGTGTGTACCACCAGGATCTGTTTAGTTCTCTGGGAGTGGTGGCAGAGAATGCATAGAGGCCTGTGTAGAGGCCCTCAGATGGTCTGCTACAAAGCTGGGGATAAGACCGGGGCATTCAACTTGGATGAATAGAGGGAGAGGTGAAGATTTTCAGTTAGCCCATCTTCCCTGGACAGAGTGCACCCCCTAGTCTTTAAAGAACTCAAGTATCCTGTTCGTTAATTCTTTGTCTTTTCTCCTTTTAGTTCAAATGTGCAGAACAAGAAGTATTTGGAATGCTTAGATTGTTTGTGTCTGAAAAGGATTCTCATACCAGACAACTGCTTCATCATTTATACAGTTTTATCAGAGGTAGAATGATGGAGAACAAGTTGTAAGATGAAATAAACCCTTCCCTCTCCAAGTTGCTTCTGGTCATGGTGTTTTATCAACAGCAATAGAAACCATAACTTAGATATCACCTTCTTGTGATAAGAAATTTTAATCAAATTTTAAAATTCTAAATTTAAATATGATTCCTCAGTAATCAGAAAATTACATTCACACAGGGACAAGAGATAACAGTCTGAAATGATCTAAGAGTATCCTGTCAGACCCAAATTGACTTCTAGAGTAGTGTATTTAACCCCTGAAACTAATCAAATAATAAAATCTAGGTTTGACTTAATCTGTTATCTGATAACTTTCCTTTCAGAGCTCCAGTAATGACATTGAGAATCATGAGATAAGCACTCCAGTCAGCTGGTCCATAATGAAACTTCCAGACATCTAGGGGTGTAAAATGTGGCATGAGGATTGGGCATGGGCTTGATTTTTGAGTAACAAGAACTTGAGTCTTAAAATCTTGTCAACATTAAGAGGAATAAATATATTTCTATCATTGGTTGTGTGTGTCTATTTTTAGACAGTTTTCCATTATCTTACTGTGTTTCATTTCAGTAATGAGTTTTTAAATATTTTTGTAGATATTTTGAACAGATGTAGCCCTGGCTCATCTTCAAAGGGACTAAAGAATGACTCACTCAATCCAGGTACAGTATTACTGTACTGCCTTACTACTACAGATTTGTTTAATTGTTTATTTATGTGTATGTATTTGTACCTGTGTGAGTTTTTTGTGCACCATGTATGGACAGGTACCCATGAAGAGCAAAAGAGGGCATTGAATCCCCTGGAAATGGAATATGTATACTAGATGCTTGTTAAAAACCTGACATAGATGCTAGGAACTAACATGGTCCACTGCAAGAGCAGTGGGTGTGCTTAATGGCTAAGCCCTTGCTATTTTCATTTTAAATTCAACTGTTTGGCACAATTGTATACCAATATGTTCATTATATATATATATATATTTTTTTTTACGTATAGCTATTTCAAATATATTCAAACCTGCAAATCGACACTATAGAAATCCATCACCTAATCCAGTGGCTGCTTTGCCTAGATTTCATCCTGAATCCAAATCTTCAGAGAGTTCTGGTGTTCAGACTGTGTCTAAACCTGTAAGTATTTCTTTAACTTCACAGTTAATTCAGGACCACATTGGATAGTGTTTATCCACCTAGAATTGAAAATGGTTGTAGCTAAATACCATAGCTAATTACTCAAAGAAAATGTCATTATCTTTAGGTTTTCTTTTTTGTTTGTTTTTTTTCTAGAAAGGGTCTCACTATTTATCTCTGGCTGTCCTGGAAATCACTATATAGACCAAGCTGACCTTAAACTCAGAGATATCCACCGGCCTCTGCCTCCTGAGTACTGAGTACTGTGACTAAAAAGCATGAGCCACCACACTCAGCTTCATTTTTAAACTAAAATGATTTCATTGTGTTAAAGAACACTATTATGCTGACACAATTATATAGCAATAAAATCAATATATTTTGTGATTTTTATATACAGCTTTTCCCGGTATGTTAAAGTCAACACTATAAATCCAATGGCTACTTTACCTAGAATTTTTTGTATCAAAGTCTTGAGTATCCCCCTTTGCCTTTCCCAGTCCCAGTAGCCCATATTCTACTCCTAGTATTTGACAAAGAAGCCAAAAACACATCGGAGAAAAGCTAGCATCTTCAAGCAATGGTTCTGGAAAACCATCCACATATACATGATTGAAATTAGACCCATATCTATCACCCTGCACAAAAATTAACTCAAAGTGGATCAAAGACCTCAGTTTGCAACTTGAAACATGGAAACTGCTAGAAGAAAATATAGGTAGTACCCTAAATGATATAGGTATAGGAAAAGACTTGAATTGAAAAGTGGGACCTCATAAAACTAAGAAGCTTCTGTACAGCTACAGAAAGAATCAAGTAACGAGGAAATACACAGGAAATCAACTTTTTAAGAGAGTAAACTTAGGTGTTCTTAAATGGGACGATTATTCCAACAAATCATGGCTGTTTATTCTCAAAACTCTTTTCATTGTTTAGTTCTTAAACATTTTAAGCCAGCACGGTTGTTAGCATGCCTGTAGTCCTAGGACTTGGGAAGCTAAGGGCAAGAGGATTGTCAGTTTGAGACCAATCTCCCCATAAGTTCTAGACTAGACTGGACCACAGAGTGTGACTCTGTCTTGTAGATGTAACCAACCGTCTTATTAAATAAGAAACACAGAACCAATGTAAAAGAGAAAGCCGAGATGTCAGAGCTAAGAGCTAAAATCTTACTCTTCCTCCTGAGTGCTCCTAGCTTCCCGAAAGAGAGCTACTTCCTGTGTGTACATCTTTTCATAGTCTTTTTGTTCTGCCTTCTCATTGGTTGTAAACCCAAACACGTGACTGCCTCATCACTGTCTGTATGTACAGCCCCCCAGGTCTTAAAGGCGTGTGTCTCCAATGCTGGCTGAACACACAGAGATCTACCTAGCTCTTCTACCAAGTGCTGGGACTAAAGGCGTGCGCCACCACTGCCACACTCTTGCTATGGCTCTAATAGCTCTGACCCCCGGGCAACTTTATTTATTAACATACAATCAAAATCACATTTCAGTACAATTAGAATATCACCACACTGTCTCACAAAACAAAATAAACCCCCAAGTAGAGCAATAACAAAAGACTTTTCACAGAAGTAAGATTAGTGGTAATTCTTAACATTTGGAGGGAAGCTGTTAATCTGTGCAAATGTAATTCTCATATAATTCTTAGGACATTCCTATGAGGCAGGCTATTATTCCCAATTTATGGTTGAGGAGACTGAAACTCAAAGAACATAAATGGTTCTCCAAAGGCCAGCTACTAACTAATAGACATGGGATTTCAAACCATATTAACCCAGAGGTTTATACACATATCTGACCATACATTTCAGTACATACTTTTAAAAACGTTATGGGTCACCACTGCCCAGCTGATGTAGGTCATTTTATTAGCTGTCTCCAGAATTCTTAAGTCTGTGTGTATGTATGTACACCATGTATGTGTTTGGTACCTACAAAAGCCAGAAAAGAGTGTCATATCCCCTGGAACTAGGGTTGTATTTAGTTGTAAGCTTCTATGTGGGTTCTGAGAACTGAACCCAGGTCCACAGCAAGAACAGCAAGTACTCTTATCCACTGAGACAGCAACTCTCTGGTCTCTGTCTCTGTAACTTCCTAACAAACTTATATGAAAATTCAGTAAGAAAGCCAGGCATGCTGGCATATGGCTGTTACTAACACTCAGGAGACTGAGACAGGAGGATGAAGAGGCCACTCTGTTCTACATAGTCAGTCCCAAGCTATGCAAGGTTATATTGGGAAACCCTGTTTCATTTCCTCTCCCTCAATTAAAAAAAGAATATTTAGTAAGAAAGTAAAATTCTTACAACCTAATCATCTCTCAACTTGAAAACATAAAACATGCAAACAAAATCTTTATATTCCTATTGTGAAAGTTATGTATATGAAAAGAATTAGAAACAAGGAAATATATTTTATGTTTTGATTTTTATTTTCTGTAGATAGTATAGTTTGTCATTCATTTACCCAGATTTGATAACTATTCCTCATCTTTCACTGAATATTGTATTGAAAATATACTTTTTTGTCATTCATTGTGTATTCCTCAAAATTATGATGATGCTTAATAGTCTGTCAAACTTATTTAACTGATCTTCTGTTAGTGAACACACAGGTTTTCATATTTTGCTATTATAAATACTCTATTAACATTTTCATTTCCTTAACACAAATTCTTAGAAGTGGAATGATTATATCAGAGGATATGAACTTTTTTTGTTGTTTTTGTTTTTTTCAAGACAGGGTTTCTCTGTGTAACAGCCCTGGCTGTCCTGGAACTTGCATTGTAGACCAAACTGTCCTTGAACTCACAGAGTGCCTCTGCCTGCCAAGTGCTGGGATTAAAAGTGTTCGCCACCATCACCTGGCTGGATATGTACTTTTGAAAGCCTTTAGTAGATGCTCCTAAAATGTTCTTAAAGAGAAGTTATACCAAAATGAAACCTTGCTAGTGTTATCACTGTTTGTTTAATTTTAACAATTTTTACAACTAATTTTAGTTTTCCAGAAAAATTACAAAAATAATGAAGAATGCCAATATGCTTCTCACCCAGTATGTGCTCCTTTTAGCAGAGAATAGTAATTGCATTTGTGTTTTCTAACTTGTCTTTGTAGTACTAGCATCCAGTTTGGTTTACATTTCTAATAATTGACAAACAAAATATCTTTAATGCTTTACAGAGTTTTTCAAAGACTTCATCACAAGATGATCCAGGTGCTTCTTCTCTCTTACAGTTAGACTCAACCAAGGATACACCATCCTCCAGCATACTGAAAAAGAGGACAGAAGGTTGGATTTACTATTTCTTAAGATCTATAAAAAGAGACTTTGTTAATGCTCATATAGAATTTCTATACAGGGCCTGAAGATGGCTCAGCAGGTAAAGGTGCTTGCTGCCAAACTGATAACCTAAGTTGGATCCCTGGAACCCAAATCGTAAAGCAGAGAGTCGACTCCATGCCATGCACAGATGCACATTAAATAAACAAATTAATAAAGATTTTAAAAGCCAGCAAGATGGCTCAACAAATAAAGGCAATTGTCGCCAAGCCTGATGAACCCACAAGATAGGAGGCTAGAACTGACTCCAGAAGATTATCCTCTAACTTCCACAAATACACCCACATACATACACACAGATATTTTTAATTCTCTTCTGAACTCGGGGCCTTCTTGTTATTTTTGCATATAAGATGGAAATAGAGCTAGTAATTCCTAAAAGCTTTTCGTGTAAAATCTTATATTATTTAATAATAGACTATTTTAGACTATTTTCTTTCTTTCTGTTAGTTTAGCTAGTGTGTGCTACTTGAAATTATTCTTCCTTCCTTCCTTCTTTCCTTCCTTCCTTCCTTCCTTCCTTCCTTCCTTCTTCCCTTTCCTTCTTTCTCTCCTTTGTTCTTTCTTTCTTTCCTTTTTTGACTTTTCAAGACAGGATTTCTATATGTAGCCCTGGCTGTCCTGGAACTCACCCTGTAGACCAGGCTGGCCTCAAACTCAGAGAGCCTCCTAAGTGCTGGGATTAAAGGCTTCACCACCATACCTGGCTGAGCTTGTTCTCATTTAGAACTACCTGTGAGCTGTGAAATCTTAATATAATTTCTGTGAATCAGAGAAGTCACTTGATGTCTTAAATACTCTGTAACAAATGTATTTGTTATTCAGAGACCATTAATTTATGAAAATTGCATGGCTTTAGTTTATTTCTTAGTAAACTTTCTATATAATAAATGGCATATACATATGAGATAGTTAAATGTGAATCTTGAGTGGTATGACAGGACTAAGGAGAATGATTTACATATGACTAGTACATTCCCATTGAAGGAACAGAAATTGGACAATTGACAGAAAATTCATTTTTGAAAATTTTTTTACCATGACAAAATTCTTCATAAATGTAAATTAGTATGATAGTGGAAGAATGTTGCCTACATAAAAAGGAAAGTCCCTATAATGGAATAAAGTAGCTTCTCTATTAGCTAACTTGATATATTTCACTAGAGAGGGACATAGTTATCTTTTGATTTTTTTATTTACAAATAAGTAGTATGGTACATTTTATCAAATGAATGAAAAGGGTTTTAGTGATTTGAGCGACAAAATACTTTCTCATTTTGCTAAAATTTATTATTTTGAAAATAAATACTTCATTTGATATTAACCTATGTCCAGTTAGCAAAATCGACAGGGAAATGAAATAGGTGTCTTAAATTTGATTTTACTAAGCACGTGATCTCATTCCTAGAACAAGTCTCAATTTATGAAGCTTCTAGAGGTCAAAGACAGTAACTCCTACTCACTCTTTAAAGATTTCCCACTGAGTGTGGTGGCACATGCATGAAATTCTGTCACTTGGGAAGTGGAGCTAGAAGGCCCCGGAGTTTGAGGGCCAGTCTTGGCTGCATAGCAAGTTCAAGGTCAGCATGGGCTAACTAAGACCCTGTCTCAACAAAAGGTTTTTACACTGTAGAGGAGAGCTTTTTCCTGAATAGTAAACACTGTCAAAGTTGGACTAAAAGATACAGGTTTAAACTTCTGTTCTACAGATTTGTGTAGGCTTTGTCAAGTCACCTAACTTCTTACATTTCACTTTTTTCACATTGTTAAAATATCATTTTATGTTTCTCATATAATACATTCATTCTCTGGACCAAATATGAGCCATTTGGAGATAATGTTACTCATCTTAGAATTTTACTGAGTTTGGAAAAATAAGAAAAGTGAAAGCTGTTTTATAAACTTAAATGGTTTATTAAAGTTTAAAATAATAATTATAAATATGTGATATGTTTGAAAGCACATCTTGTCTAGATGACCATAGAAGATTCTTAGAAAAAATTAGATTTGAGCTTGAATTTGAAGAAGATAAATAGGATTTTTATGAGAATAAGATACTTGTTTTTTAGCCAGGCATGGTGGTACATGCCTTTAATCCCCCAGAGACATAAAGATTTCTGTGAGTTCAAGGCCAGTGTGGTTTACATAGCAAAGTCCTAGATAGCAGGAGTTACAAAGTAAGACTCCATCTCAAAAATTAATTTCAAAAAGGTTCTTTTTCGCCAGGCGGCAGTGGTGCACGCCTTTAATCCCAGCACTCGGGACGCAGAGCCAGGTGGATCTCTGTGAGTTTGAGTCCAGCCTGGGCTACAGAGCGAGATCCAGGACAGGCACCAAAACTACACAGAGAAACCCTGTTTCAAAAAAAGAAAAAAAAAGGTTCTTTTTCATCAATTTATTATTGGACAATAACACATATATGCAATGCATTCTGACCACATTCATTCCCTCCTACCCCGTACCTGTCACACCCCCACCAACCCCCTAGTCCTCTAACCAAGTCCCCATCCCACTTTTTGTCTTTTTGTTTTGTTTTTGCTTTTGCTGTGTGATCCACTGGATTTAACCAGATCCACCTGCTCATTTTTATTTGTGTAAATAGGAAGACTTGAAAGTAGGGAATAGCAAAGACCAAAAGCAAAGAAAATTAATAACTTGAAGGATCAGTATTTAAAACTCATTATCTCAGAGTAATTTTCTTTAATTGAGATATCCCTGTGCTTCAAAAGTTATTTAGAAGGAGGCTGGTGAGATGGCTCAGTGGTTAAGAGCACTTGCTGCTCTTCTGGAGAACCTGAGCTCACAACCACCTGAAGCTCCAGCTCCAGGACATCTGACACCTTCTTCTGGGCTCTGAAGTCATATGTAACATACATTCACAAAGATGCACAAACATACATGTGCATAAATCTAGTAAAAATAAATCCTTAAACGTTATATATTAAAATGATCTGTTTTTATTACCTAGCATATTGTATAATATTACCTAGTGCAAAATGCCAACATTTATTGATTATTCAAGTGACACTGGAATCTTAAAAAACATTAAAGTAACGAAACTAAAGTCAGTTTCAAGTGCTGGTAGTAATCAATCATTCAGTAACCATAGCCTCTAATGAGAGGAAAGAGAATTCTGTCATCTCAGAAAATGAGACATCATAAATTTGACAGAGGAGTCTCTTACTTTCCAAGACTATGTCTCCTGCTTCTCCTGTGAATGTACACTTGAGAGCATTAAACTATGTATGGTTTTAGAGCCTTTGTCACAAAGTACAATTTATTTTGGATTATTTTATAAAATAATTTTTTTGGCATAAAATAATTTTTTCCTGTGTCTGTGCCTCTTTTTCAGACAGATGCCATGGATTATTTAATCCTTTGCATGCTAAGATGATAGTTTTCACACAGAACTATTTCTCCCAAGGAAATCCCAAGTTTTTAAATCACAAAAGTCAGATAAAACATAAAAGGAATGGCCCTGTCTGAAATGCCCTTTATATCTAATTAACTCAGGATAGTGGTTAATAGGCCATTGGAGAAATTCCAGATTTTTGTTTTGTTTTTTTGAGACAGGGTTTCTCTGTATAGCTTTGTGCCTTTCCTGGATCTCCCTCTGTAGACCAGGCTGGCCTTCAACTCACAAAGATCCGCCTGCCTCTGCCTCCCGAGTGCTGGGATTAAAGGCATGCGCCACCACCACCCAGCAAAATGAGTATTTTTAAAGTTTGAATGTATTTAATCACCAAAACATAAACTCATTTATAAGAACTTAGCTCAGAGAAAGTTATCTACCTTTTTTCTCTTTCTTTTTTGTTATATTATTGTTGCTTTAGGTTTTGTGGGGTTCGTGCTTTTTTCCCCCCTCAGTCTGCCTCCTTTAGTGGCTAGCTTGATTTGAAAGTATCTTCATAGTTTTCCTGCATCAAGTTTATTTTGTGAATCTAAAATATATACTATCCAAAGAAGCTGCTTCCTTGTATAGTTTCTGCTTTTTTATTATATAATTTTTTCCATTAAGTTAGCTCCAAGGCATTTTTACTACATTTTAAATCTAAGGACATTTTTATAGCCATTTTAAAAAGTAATATTCTATACTAAAGCACTTGTACATATCTTTCCTGATGTTCAAATCTTTGTAGGTATCGATCAAGTTTCATTAGGATTAAAACATCCTTCTTCTTCCAAAGTAAACAGTGTTAATCCAAAAAAGCCAAAGACCAATACAAGTGTTTCTGAAGCAAGTCCTTCCTCTTCATCATCTTCAAGCAATTCTCCTTCAGAGGCTTCCTCCCAGGTTATAGTAGCAAGTAAGTATGAAATCTCACATAGAAAAATGTATTAATTAGAAACCAGTTTTAATAATTGTGATGGATTTTTTAAACATGTTTAAGTTTTTTAAAAGATGAACTTTTACTCAAAGTCCTCAATTTATTTTAGATGAAAATACCTCATCAATTCAGTCTGAAACTGGAGCACCTTCACTAAGATCTTGTCCAAAGTGCAGTGTTAAGTTCAGTTTTTTGGATCCTTTGAAATGCCACATGAAGGTAAAATAGTTTCAAAATTTGAGTTTTTAATATTTTTTTGAATCAATGAAATATTAAGAATAATAGAGAGTAAATATTTGTTTGTCTAGATATTTAATAATAAAGCTTTTATTGTCATTTTCATATGAGTAAAAAATTAATTTTCATAATGATTATACAAAATTTAAATTCTTCCCAATCATGAAATTATAAAACTTAAGTTCATCATGCATACAGTGTAGCATGTGCGCATTGCATTTTAATTTTAATTGAAAATTAATAAACCATTATATTTTATTAAATAAATAATGCCATTCTTTTTACTTCTCATAAAGCAGGCATTTTGTTAATCTTTTTTTTTTTTAAGATTTATTCATTTATTATGTATAGTGTTCTGTCTGCATGTATGCCTGCAGGCCAGAAGAGGGCACCAGATCTCATTATAGATGGTTGTGAGCCACCATGTGGGTTCTGGAAAATGAACGCAGGACCTCGGGGAGAGCAGCCAGTGCTCTCAACAGCTGAGCCATCTCCTTAGCCCCACATTTTATTAATCTTAAATATAACTTACAATGTCCTTCTATTTTACTTTTTCCATGTTGTCATATTTATTTCATATTTCTCAATGAAAATCTTAGCTTTATGTCATAATTTTCCAATTTCCTAGTGGAACATTTCTTATGAAATGATAGTTTTAACCCAATCCAGAATAGGATATATAGAGTTAGAAATGAATTATAGCTTTATATATTGGTATTTCAAGTTCCTGAACTTAGGTTTTACATAAATTTGAAGGTACTAAAAAGTATGGGATTTAGAGGGATTTCTACTTAAAGTATGTTACCAGATAATATAGTATTCTGTTGTATCTTCATAAAGAGTAAAGGTCTTCTGTTTGCTGCCCTGTGTAAATGGAAGTGAGGAAGGAGGAGAAAAACAGTAAGATAAATAGGATAGGTGATATGTGGAAAAGAAGGATAGGGAGAATGCAAAGAAGCATCTTAGGAAAAGGTTCTGCTCACTGTTCCAAAGGCAGATGTTTATTAAATCCCACATCTTGGAGAAAAGTAGAGGAGTGAGAATGAGTTCTCAAAATTTCAAATACAAATATCTATTCTGGGAGCAAAACTGATACTGGATGTTAGTCCGTCTTATCTCCCTGAGCATGTGAATCCAGTCTCACATCATCAGTTCTTTCTTTGACATTTGACAATTCTATCCTGTATTCTCTTTAGGATATAGTTCTCTCTCTCTCTCTCTCTCTCTCTCTCTCTCTCTCTCTCTCTCTCATAACTTCCCTGGCGTTTTAAATAAAGTATCCTTTTCCCCTTGTTGCTTAATTCATTCTGGCCTCAATTCCATTTTAATTTACTTATCTAGTCATTTACTTATTACTTATCCTTTATGTGTGGAGTGTATGGATATGTCTGTGCACATTTGTGTGTTTGAGTATAAGTGTGCACTTCTCATTGTACACCTGTGGAGGTCAGAGGACAACCTCAGGTGTTAGTCCTTGCTTTCTACCTATTTAGAGACAGAGTCTCTTTGTTGGTGGTAGCTGTGTATGCTAAATTCTCCTATCTCTGCCTCCTATCTCTCTGTAGTAGCACAGGGATTACAGACATGTGTTACCATGCCTGACCTTTCTCCGTTCTGGAGATCCAAAATCAGGTTCTCACCCATGTACAGAAAATGCTTTACCCACTGAAGCATTTTTTCCAACTCTCATAATCCTTATTTTCTTGTTTCCATTTGCTTGCTAAATGCCTTTATTTATTGATTTATTTATTTTTGAGACAGGGTCTATGTTGCCCTGGCTGCTCTGAAACTTATTATGTAGACCATGCTAGCCTTGAACTCACAGAGATTCATTTGCCTCTGTCTCCCAAATGCTGGGATTAAAGGCATGGGCCAACTTGCCCAGCTACTTGATATATTCTTTTATTCTTTCTTTCTTTCTCTCTTTTTTTAAAAAAAGATTGATTTATTTATTTTATATATATAGCATGTATGATTGCTGGCCAGAAGAGGGCACCAGGTCTCTTTACAGATGGTTGTGAGCCACCATGTGGTTGCTGGGAATTGAACTCAGGACCTCTGGAAGAACAGTCAGTGCTCTGAACCTCTGAGCCATCTCTCCAGCCCTACTTGATATATTCTTATTTTATCCTTTTATTTTTCAATATTTCCAAAGGCCTTTATTGTTTATGTTTCTAATTTTTACCTGTGTTGCTTTTTCTTTCTAATCCTATGTGAAAACTCCTTTTCCTTCAGGAGTTTAGCTAAACCTATTTGCAGTCATTGATGTAAAAGATTTAGCTGGTAGTATAGGTATGTGGACAGAAGTGAAACCGTAAGCACACCTACTTTTAAAAACTTCCTTCCTGCCCATTTTGCATTTTCTGTGATAACAACATAAAATATATCCTCTTAGCAAAATGGTAAGCATCCAATTAAGTGTTGTTAGCTATGCATATTAATGCTGTACAGTAGATCTTTAGGGCCTTGAAGAACTTGAAGAACTAAACCTCCATATCCATTGAGTAATACTTCCCCACTTGCCACTTCCCCAGATCGTGGCACTCAGCATTCTACACTCTTCGTGGTTTTATTTAGACGATTGTAGATTTCTCATGTAAGTGTAGTCATGAAATAATTGTTCTGTTGCTGACCTATTTCACTTAATATAATATCTTCCAATTCTATAGGTAGAATTCCCTGCTTTCTTAAGGCTGAATAATATTCCAAACTGTCTATATACCACATTTTCTTTTTCATTTGTACCTTAGTAGACTTAGGTTACTTTCATGTCTTGGCTATGAATAATTCTACAGTGAACTTGAGCCTGCAGATTTGTCTTTGATATCCCAAATTAAATTGTTTTGGATATATACCCAGTGTGACATTGCTGGATCACAGAGTTGTTATATTGTTTTTAGGAACGTCTATATTTTTGCATATTGGTTTTACTTGTTTATATTTATACACACAGTGTAAAAAAGAACTGGCTTTCTCCACTTCCCTTTTCTCTTTTAGATAGAGCCATCATTGTATTTTTGACAATTACTGATTTCTAGTGCTTTTTCACATATGTATTGTTCATTTTGTATGTCATTTTAAAAAGAAATGTCTTCTCAGTCCCTTGGCCTTTATTTATTTTCCAAATCCTTATTAGAAAGTTTAAATAAGGCCCAGGGATGGGGTTGAGGAATCCGGATGCAGAGATCCACAGCTAGGCCCCGGGTGGAGCTCCTGGAGTCTAATTAGTGAGAAAGAGGAGGGATTGTATGAGCGAGAATTGTTAAAACCAAGGTTGGATAAAGCACAGGGACAAATAGCCAAACAAATGGAAACACATGAACTATGAACCAAAGGCTGAGGGGCCCCCAACTGGATCAGACCCTCTGAATAGGTGAGACAGTTGATTGGCTTGATATGTTTGGGAGGCAACTAGGCAGTGGTACTGGGTCCTGTGCTCATGGCATGAGTTGGCTGTTTGAAACCTGGGGCTTATGCAGGGACACTTGGCTCAGTCTGGGAGGAGGGGACTGGACCTGCCTGGACTGAGTCTACCAGGTTGATTGCAGTCCTCAGGGGAGGATTTGCCTTGGAGGAGGTGGGAATGGGGGGGGGAGAAGAGGGGGGCAGGAAGGGGGAGAACAAGGGAATCTGTGGCTGTTATGTAGAACTGAATGGTATTGTAAAATAAAATAAAAGGAATAAAAAAGAAAGTTTAAATAATGAGAACTAATGAAAAAAGTGAGGAAAAGGTCAAGGATCCAGTAGTTAGTTGTTCAGTCTCAGCAGTCCCAGTCTGGTGCTGGAGTCCCAAGTCTAGAGAGCTGCTGCTTTGCAGTCCACATTGGCAAAGAACTGAGTTCTAGCACCAGCAAAGGAACGACTCAGGAACAGGATCGATGAACTGGCCAGTGAGAGTGAGGGGAAGCAGGCAAAAAGCCAGAAGCTTCTCCTATGTTCTTTTATGTGGGCTGCTCCCAGAAGATGTGACCCAGATTTAGGATGGGTCTCTACCTCAAATGATGCAACCAAGAACAATCCCTCACAGGTGGGCCTAGTTGTTTGGGTTTTAGTTAATTCTAGATTTAGTCACATCGACAAGCAAGATTGGCCCTCACAGTCAGTAATGTAAAATTCTTTCATAAATGGCTGATGCTAAGCCAATCAATCATGACTTTATGTTTTAAATACAGAATAGATAACATTTACTGAAATTTAATTATATGGTCATTTTCTTCTGAAAATATTTTTTTTCCTTTCATGCATAAGCCCCTTTCTAGTTTCCTACCATCTGTGTCTATTTTTAGTTGGTTTAGAATATTTTTAATGTTGATGTTCATTATTGCTGTGCTGTTGAGTTATAAGAATTCTCACAGTTGTTTTCTAACACTTTAAATAAAAATTTGAATATTCAACAATTACAAGAATTCAATGATTTGCAATTTTTTTCCTGTTTTATTTTTGTTCTCCAGCTACTATTTTAAAGATTTATTTTTTTATTGTATGTATTGGGTGCTTTGTTTGCATGTATGTCTGTGCACCACTTACATGCCTGATGCTCCTGGAGCCTAGAAGAGGCATGGCTCTCTTGGGACTACAGTTCCACACAGTTGTGATGGTGTGGGTGCTCGGAATTGAACCCAGGTCCTCTGGAAAAGTTGCCAATGCTCTTAACTGCTGGGCCACCTCTCCTGTCTGCCCCAGTTATCTTAGAGAATCCTCCTAGAGAAATTCTACCACTGAAAATTACATGTAATGAAAAGACTTAGGTGTGAAAAGTACTCTACATTAGAATCAGTTTAAATGAGATTTTAATTTTATTTGAGGCCAATTTCCCCCGAGAAATATTTAAGTGTTTTAGATAGAATGCATTGAGATTTTGAGGATATAACTGATAAATCTTCCTTTGTGGGACACACATTATCTAGTGCCTTATATTGGAGAATGACATATCAACTGTGCTCAGAAGTCTAGTTCCAACTATGCTTTACTAAAATATTACTATGTCATTAGGTAATTAAGCTTCATACAGAATGATATATGTAACTTTTAAGTTATATCTTGACATTAATATGAAATGTATGTTTTTTGTTCAAAAATCAAATTAATAAATATTACTCTAAAAAGAAAAATTACAAGGTAATTTAAAGTTTAAAAGTTTTCCATTTATTTTGAAAGTTATTTCTTTCATTAAAATAGTGGTGTTTATTGTTGGAATTTTTTGCAGTTTATAAGGAAGGAAACTAGCGTTATTTAGTGGATGTCTTCCCATTACTAAGCATAGCTTTATATGATCTAAACCTACTGTAAATATTGAACTCACTTTTGACATCTGATTTTTTATAAGAGGTACAAATAAAATATACTATTTCTCCACTTTTAGAATTGCTGCCCAGACATGATAAATAATTTTCTGGAGACTCTTAAGTCAGAACATTCAAGGGCTGAAAACAAAGCTAACATTGACGCGGATAAAGAAAAATTGATCATGCTAGTTAGTGATTTTTATTATGGAAGACATGAAGGAGCTATTGAGGAAGACCCGAAGACTCACACAACTTTTAAATGCTTCAGTTGCTCCAAAGTTCTTAAAAATAATATTAGGTATGTAAATATTTCTTTTTATTTGTTTGAAAATTAAGAAATGATGATTTGCATCTTGGTCTTTTAATATAAATGTTATGGGTTTTTTTTTTTCTTTGCTATCTTTAGGTAAACCATTGTAACACTTCTACTAAGAAAGGCTATTCATTTCTGCTGAAAATTGTACCAGGCTTTTTCTTTTGTGCCACCAACCAGCTTCCAAATCATGACGGGGGGGGGGGGGGGCGGCACGGGACACACGACACACGACACGTAAACGACTTATTATTAGTTTTAAGCACTCGACCTAGCTTAGGCTCTTTTCTGGCTAGCTCTTTTCACATAAATTAACCTGTTTGTCTTTATCTACCTTTTGCTTCCGGGCTTTTTACCTGTTCTTTCCTTCTGTATATCTTACTTTCACTGTTTCTTGTATCTGGCTGGCTGGCAGCTGCCTAGCTGGCTGGCTGGCCCTGGGCATGTCCCTCTCTTTCTCCCTTGTTCTTTTTTCCTTTTGCTTCTTCTCTCGTCCTCCTCTCCTATTTATTCTCTCTGCCCAGCAGCCCTGCCTATCCCTCTCCTGTATAACTATTGACCGCTCAGCTTTTTATTAGACTAATGAGGTGCCTTAGGCAGGCAAGGTGAAATAGCAACACATCTTTACATAATTAAACAAACATAGTTAAATTAATATTCCACAGCATAAACAAATGTAACACACCTTCATATGGTTAAAGTAATATTCTGTAGCATAAATGAATTTAAGACATCTTTGCCCAGTTAAAATAATATTTCACAACATAAAGTTTTTATTTTTTCTTGTATTTCATAGTGATAACTGGATCTACCTAGTTATATTTTTTTTCAGATAGCTTAAGAAAAGACAAGAGTATTTACTGTAACTTAGGAAAAATGACATATTTTCCATTTGTCGGAGTTACTTTATTATTGCTGTGATAAAACACTATGACCAAGGCAACATATAAAAGAAGGTATTTGAATCAAACCCAGGTCCTCGGGAACAGCAGCCAGTGCTCTTAACCACTGAGACATCACTCTAGCCCCAAGAAAATAGTGTTATGTTACCTTCTGATTACACGGCCCAGTGAGGGCTGAATTCCACCCCCCCAGGTCAATACTACATATTTGTAGCAATAAAAACCACACAGGTGGTACATGCCTTTCATCCCAGCCCTGAGGAGGCAGAGGCAGGGGGATCTGTGCCCAAAGCTCCAGACAGCAAACAGAAAGATGTCTGTACCAATTTTTACTTTCAAGAATAGAATTACCTCTAATTTCTAAGAAGTCCAAGCAGGGAGTTGAACTTCGAGGCGTTGCAGGGCCTTGTGTGCAGAACTGGCTGAGACCAGAGGGTCTTAGCCACAAGCTGTTCCTAAGACTCAGCTGGGGCAGACAACTGGGTGCTCCATTGCAGTAGTAACACAAAGAAGTTCGGGTGTTAGCTGCTCTGCCCCTTTCTGTCATTTGAAACATCAATGAGTCAGGGATCCACCACTTACCTGAAAGAGCTGAAGAGTCAAGATTCACTTGAGGGTAAAGTAAGACCTTACAGAGTTCGGGTACCTATATATCTACACCAGGCCCTCGGCAGAGCTACACCAGGACATCACCACACTTAGACCAGGCCATCACCACAGTTACACCAGGCCCTCAGCAGAGCTACACCAGGACATCACCACACTTAGACCAGGCCATCACCACAGTTACACCAGGCCCTCAGCAGAGTTGAGCTTATTGTTTCAAAGAGTCAGAGCCCATGATGGTGAAGGAGAGGTATGGTATCAGGAACAGCTGAGAGCTCACATCTTTATCCACAACTAGGAGGCAGAGAGAGATCAAGACACTGAGAATGACCAGAGTCTTTTGAAACCTCAAAGCATGCCTCCAATGACACGTCCCTTCTAACAAGGCCATACCCCTAATCCTTTCCCAACAGTTCCACCAATTGGGGGAACAAGTATTCAAACATATGAGCCTATTAGGTCCATTCTCATTCAAACCACATTCCATTCTGTATTAGTCAGGGTTCTCTAAAGGAACATAACCGAAAGCATGAATATATACATATATATCAAAAGGGGATTTGTTAGAGTGGCTTACAGGCTGTAGTCCAAATAGTTCAACAGTGGCCGTCTTTTGATAGAAAGGCCAAGGATCTGGTAGTTGTTCAGGCCACAAGACTGGATGTCTCAGCAGTTCACAGTCTGGTGCTAGAGTCCCAGGGAAGTCCTAGAGAGCTGCCAGTCTTCAGTCTTTGTTGGAATCTAGAAAAAGTAGGTTCTAATATCAGCAAAGGAATGGCTCAGGAACAGGACAGATGAACTTGGCAGTGAGAGTGAAGGCAAGCAGGCAAAGGCATAATCTTCCTTCCTCCATATCCTTTTATGTAGCTCCCATCAGCAGGTGAGTCTTCTCACCTCACATGATGCAGTAAAGAAAAACCCTCATGGATGTGCTCTGCTGCTTGGGTTTTAGTGATCCAGATGTGGTCAAGTTGATAAACCAAGATGAGCCTCCACATTCCTATATTTGTTTTCTTGTTTGTTGAATCTTACATTTCTTTACATAACAAAAACTACTTTATCCTGCCTAATATCTTCTATGCTGGTCTTATTTTCAATATTAGCTCAAATTTTTATACTAGCTCAATTTTTTTCAACTCATATTTATAATTTTCAGCATACTTATCTCAGAGAAAAAAATGATTCTTTTTTAAAATTATCTTCTTTAGAGAAGTCCATGTTTTATACAACATGTCTGCTTTGCTTTTGTACAATTTTGATAACACATATACAATTCCCAAGGGAGTTCTAAAGGTTTTTCCAAGACAAGTTCTCACTATATACCCAAACTCATTATGGAGACTAGGCTGGCACACTCTGACATGTGCCTGCTTCTGCCACCTGATTACGGTGTTAAAGGTGTGTGCCAACATGCCTGGTTGAAATTCTAAAGATTTTATAAATTTTTATCTTAAAATGTAAGAACTTACATTTTATTATCTGAGTTACATGGCATGTTGAATGTTTATCATCATAAGTAAGATAGTAACAGAAAAAAGTAACAAGCCAACTGGTATTTTCATTGCTATTATAGCCTGGTATTTGTTGTAAGTTACTTTGTTTTCCCAAATTTGTGTGTGTGTGTGTGTGTGTGTGTGTGTGTGTGTGTGTGTGTGTGTGTGTGTGTGTGTTATTTTTCTTGATATTTATTGTTAATATTTCTGAGATTTTTCTAGAGAAAAAATTTTTGAGACAAGGTCTCTCTATTTTGTAGCTCTGGCTGTCTTGGAACTCACTATTGTAGCCTAGGCTGGCCTCAGATTCACAGAGATCCACCTGCCTCTGCCTCCCCAGTGCTGGAACTAAAGGTATGCACCACCATGCCTGGCTTAGAGAAAAAAAAATTGAGACAGGGTCTCACTATACCTGTGACTGGTCTAGAACTCACTATGTAAACTAGACTGGCCTCAAAATGACATAGATCTGCCTGCCTCTGCTTTAATCCTGAGTACTGAGTTGAATGATGTGTACCGCCATGCCCCACTACAACTTTGTTTGTAACTGTAACCTGGTAGACTGCTCAAAACCTGATCTTCTATTCCTTCTTTCATTCTATTCATACTTATTTAATTACCACTATTTGTAAGATTTTGGGCTATGAGCTCTGTTAAATACAGACATGAGTCTAATAAAATCTTCACATGGCTTGTAGACATTATAGAGACTATACAGTAGAGCTTTAGGAAAACTAAAAAACAAAGTATGGGGTAGTAGCCTTTTTCTTGTCTTTTTTATTATTTGAGAATTTTATACATGCATATAACACATTTGATCAACTCCACCCCATTCCTTCACCCTCAATACTGCCCCACCCTCCCATATTTTTTCCCTCAAACCCACTGGCTCCACCTAGTGCTGTTTGTAGGGTGTTGGTGCCTTGCACTGGAGCATGAGCAATCTTTCAGAGACCACATTCCTGAAGAAAACTGACTCTCCTCTCCCACCAGCAGCCATTAATTGTCAATAGTTTCTTAATTAGAAATGGGACTTCATGATCTCTTTCCCAATCCATGCTGAGATTTTGGCTGGTTTGATCTTGTGCAGTGCATAGTCACACCTACTGTGAGGTCATGGATGTAACAGCGCTATTTTCTCAACATTTTATAACAAAATTGTTTAAATATTCAACAATGTCAAAAATATTTTACAGTGAGCATCTGTTTACCAATTTGATTTTACCATTGACATTGTACTATATAAATCAAATAGATCTATGTGTCTCTTACAGTTTTATTATGTATAGCCTAAAGATTCACCTACATTTTTTTTTGTTTTTGTTTTTTCGAGACAGTGTTTATCTGTGTAGTTTTGGTGCCTGTCCTGGATCTCACTCTGTAGACCAGGCTGGTCTCGAACTCACACAGATCCACCTGGCTCTGCCTCCTGAATCCTGGGATTAAAGGAGTGCGCCACCACCGCCCGCCCAACCTTCACCTGCATTTTATATTATCATGTGTCTTACTTTGGGTTTCTATTGCTGTGTTGAAACAGCTTCAGCAAAAGCAACTTGGGGAGGAAAGGGTTTATTTCATTCACAGTTCCATATGGCAGTACATCATCAAAAGCAGTGAGGGCAGGAAATCATGCAAGGCAGGAAACTGGAGGCAGGAGCTGATGCAGAGACTATGGAGGGGTGCTGCTTACTGGCTTGCTCCCCTTGGCCTACTCACCTGCTTTCTTACAGAACCTAGGACCACCATCCCAGAGATGGCACTACCCACAATGGGCTGGGTCCTCCCGCATCAACCACTAATTAAGAGAATGCCCAATAGGCTTGACCTTAGCCCAGTCTTATGGAGACATTTTCTCAACTGAGGCTCCCTCCTCTCTGATGACTCCACCTTGTGTCAAGTTTGACATAAAACTAACCAGTACATGTCACATGTAGTAAGGTGCACTTTTTGAGTAATAAGATGCTCAAAAATTTTTGGATTTCAGATCAGAGTTCAACAGGTACTTGTGCCGATGGTGGTGGCGCATGCCTTTAATTCCAGCACTCGGGAGGCAGAGGCAGGCAGATCTCTGTGAGTTCGAGGCCAGCCTGGTCGCCAAAGCAAGTTCTAGGAAAGGCTCAGAGCTACACAGAGAAACCCTGTCTCAAAAAAACAAAACAAAACAACAACAACAAAAAAAACAGGTACTTGATTTACTCTATCTATAGTCATCCACAGAACCATGTAATATTTTATATACTTTTCAAAGTAAATTAGAGACATTTACCAAAACCAAAGGAGTAGAGAAGATATCGTACTCAGCATGATGGTGCATACCAGTAATCCCAGTACTTGGAATGCTGAGACTGTATGATTGTGAAACCATCCTGGGCTACCTAGAGACCCTGTCTCCAAAAAAAGTAGATATTATAGATTATAGTTATAACCAGCTATGAAGACCAGCATGTTGAAGCCTGTAATCCCAGCACTCAGAAGGTAAAGGCAGGAGGGTAAGAGTTTCAACATAGGCATCAGCTGTGTAATGAGTTCAAGGCCATCTTGGGCTACATAAGACTTTGTCTCAACAAACAGAAATAGAGTGCTCTGTTGGTGGTGCGAATAGGAGATGAATGATCGGAGCCTCTGTGATGATTGCTTCTCTAAACTGATAATATTATCACTCCTTGTAGGATGGTTTTCTATAGAGACTCATAGTGATTTATTATAAATAGTCAACCTAATCTTAAAATTGCTTTTGATTGTTGTTTCTCTTACATCCTGCCTTAGCCTCCTTAGTTCTAGGATTACAGGTGTGAGCCACCACACCCAGCAAAGTGTTTTGATTGATTGAGTTATTTTACTTTGAAACTCAGTCTGGTAAAGGCTTTAAAATAGGTATGCCCATTCAAAGCATAAGCTTTATCAGGAAAAGTCAAACGAAGTTCCTTCTCATAAGCAGCCATTTTTAGGGAAGCTGAGATAACAGAATGTAAAACTGAGCAAATGGAAGGTGTTAGAAAGATTAACACACTGCAAGGAAAATAATATTTTCTGTATTACAATTTTTGACATTGTGACAAATGTCTAAGAGAAATGATTTAAAGAAGAAAGGATTGTTTTGGTTTGTGCTTTCAGAGTTTTCAGTCCAAAATTAGCTGAAGCCTATCTCACTGCAGAAGCACCATGGAGGAAGGGCACAGTGAAGGAAAGTTGTTCACCTGTTGGTAGCCAAGAGGCAAAGAAGTGCCAGGGGCAAGGTACATCATTTTAGGGCCTGCATCCAATGACCTACTTCCCTCAGTTAGGCCCTGCCTCCCCAAAATCCTGTCTCGTTACATGAATTAATCCATTGATTAGATCAATCACTTCCCCAAAAGCCTGTCAGCTGGTATCCAGGCCCTCAATACATGAGCCTTCAAGGAACACCTCAGATTCAGACTGTAGCAGGTAGTTATAACAACAGTAACCCAGTATCATTAAATAAAACAAAACTTCTTCTAATTACAGGCAATAACATTTTTAATTTCATTCATTTTGAAAGCAATTAATTTAAGACCTTGAAAAAATATATGTCGCCGGGCGTTGGTGGCGCACGCCTTTAATCCCAGCACTCGGGAGGCAGAGCCAGGCGGATCTCTGTGAGTTCGAGGCCAGCCTGGGCTACCAAGTGAGCTCCAGGAAAGGCGCAAAGCTACACAGAGAAACCCTGTCTCGAAAAACCAAAAAAAAAAAAAAAAAAAAAAAAAAAAAAAAAAAAAAAAAAGAAAAAATATATGTCATGCTACCTTTGATGGTAGATTGCCTCCTCTAAGTATTTTATTTTGAAATAAAAAACAAGGCATGGTGGTACACGCCTTTAATTCCAGTACTTGGGAGGTGGGCAGAGACAGACAGATCTCTGAGTTCAAGACCAGCCTGATCTACAAAATGAGTTCCAGGACAGCCAGGGCTGTTACACAGAGAAACCCAATATAAATAATATTTTATATATAGAAAGGAAGCTTGCTATTTTATTTTTACCAACAATAGCTATAAATCTGAAATGATGATAATTATAGCAAATTAATGGTATTTAATATTGGACATATTACTGGATTATTTTTAAAACAGAAATGGAAAAGATGTTTAAAGAACTCCTTAATGATGTTAACCTTTGTTTTAGGCAGTCTTAGACTGGCCTCCAACTGACTGAGTAGTACAGAATAACCTTGACATATCCTCCTGTTTCTACCTCCCAAGTGTTGAGATTAAATGTACACCTTTTGATTGGTGATAGAATCTGCTGTGTTTCCCAGATGAGCTGTAAACTCATAACCTCAAATAAATCCTTCTTTCTCAATATTCGTTAGTTTTGTAGACACAGGATGCCAGGCTAAAGTATTGTCTTAGTTACTTTTCTTTTGCTGTGACAAAAATACCATGACCAAGACAACTTATATAAGAAAGCATTTAATTTGGGGCTGATGTTTACAGAGGCTAATAGAGTCCATGACGATCATGGCATGGAGCCTGGCAGTAGACAGGTTGGCATGCAATAGCTGACAGCTTACATGTTGAGACAACATCACAAGGCATAAAGAGGCAGAAAGTTAACTTGGAATAGCAAGGGCTTTTGAAACCTCAAAGCCCATCACCAGTGACACACCTCCTCCAACAAAGCCACACCCAATCCTTCCCAAACAGTTCCTCCAACTAGGAAACAAGCATGCTAATATATGAGCCTATGGGAACCAATCTCATTCTAACCACACCACAAGTATACACTTTTCTCGGGGATTTAAGGCCATAGAGATAATATTTTGAATTGCAGTCATGCAACTACATCTTAAAAGTTTAAACTCAGATAATTATTTGTGAACCTATTATTGTTATAAATCTTCATTTTTGCACCTGTTTTACTATTATTTATAGGTTCATGAACCACATGAAACACCACTTGGAACATGAAAAACAGAACAGTGAGTCCTGGGAAAACCATACTACATGCCAGCACTGCTACAGGCAGTATCCCAATCCCTTCCAGCTACAGTGCCACATTGAGAGTACGCACACTCCTCATGATTTTTCTAGTAAGTGACAGTTTTACCGAATTCGATTGTCTGATTATGAGAGAACCTTAAGAACCACCCATTCCTATTACTATTACTAGTAGTAGTGTTACCTTGTTACTTTATGTATGGTTATACAAAATGAATCTTGTTTGTATATGCATCTGAAAAATGGTATAATGTTTTTTCTCTTTCAGCTATTTGCAAAATCTGTGAATTGTCATTTGAAACAGAGCATATGCTTTTACAACATATGAAGGACACTCATAAACCTGGTGAAATGCCATATATTTGCCAGGTATACATATTTATTAAATATTTTGGTGTTTGTTCAGTGTCTGCATGGCATGAAATAGTATTGTTTCTTTTGACTTCTGAAGCATTTAAATAAAATTAGTTGGTATACTAAAATTGAAAAGCCTCTGTGTTTAGTGAAATTTCCCATTGGTTGAACTCATGTATTGTATATGAGTGTAATGAGCTGGATTCGGCCTTCCTGGCCACAGTTCTCTGACTACTGTCATAGACAGTTGTCCAACTGGAGAAAGAGAAAGATGGGCTTATCATATAGGGAAGAATATAAATGTTTTGGGGAAACAGGAAATATTAATGAACCTAAATAAATATTTTTTGACCAGTGTTTTTTCAGAGTTTGAAGTGACTCCCAATATTAAGAAAGCAACATAAAAATAAACCGTCTCTGGCTTAGCCTTTAAAATCCAAATAAAAAAAAATACTGTATTATGTAGCAGTAAAAAGCATAGAATAATAAGTGTCAGTGCTTGAAAATTTTAAGTCAATGTAAGGGATAATAGATATGAAAAGAGAAATAAAGTCTAGCTCTAGTTTGAAATATCCCTAGTGCAGGATGTTTTTCTAAAGCAATGATATATCACTACTCATTTGGTGTAAATTATATGCAAATTATAAAGTTTGATGTTCAACTTAAACTTTATTTGTATTTCTAGGTTTGCCAGTTTAGATCGTCAATATTTTCTGATGTAGAAACTCACTTTAGATCATCCCACGAAAACACTAAGAACTTACTATGTCCATTTTGTCTCAAAGTTAGTAGAATGGCAACCCCTTATATGAATCATTACATGAAACATCAGGTGAGATTTATACTTTATTTTTCATATTGTTTTATTCAAAAGATATACATACTTAGAACATTAATTAAATTTATTCCAAGGAAAGAAAACTGTTCCAAATGACATGTTTAATTAACAGTTTATGCTGGTTTATGAAACATCTACTTTTTTTTCTTTCCTGCTTTCAGGTAATACTGAGGTCCATAACCAGTGAACTTTCTGAAAGATATCACTAGAAATAGAATAGAGGAAAAAGGGGTAAATGAGTGGAATGTATAAGCTGCATGTTTTGGCATCCAAGAAATTACAGATAGTTAATATTACCCCTGAAAATCCTTCAAATCCATCAAAGAGTATATATAGTATGCTTGTCAAAAATTTCATTGTAGGAACCTTTTTGTTTTTCTTTTTTTTATAAAAAAACCTTTGGAACAAATCACTGTTTCTTTGGTTGAACATCATGTTATTTCTGTATCCTCATCAACCTTAGTACCTTGCAACATACATACACAAGACAGACACTGAGATTTGAAGTTTAGTTAATTTGAATATTAGATTAATATCTCCAACACAAGCCTCTAGGAAAATGTTCTTTGAATGGAATAGCAGACATTTTAAACTCATTGTGCTCAATGCTTATGTATATTCTTCCATTCTCTTGCTGCCTGACTTGCTATTTATTTAACAAATAATTTATAGTGTATAAATTTTGGGATACAGAAGTAAGAAAAGCAAGCTTTGCTGTCTGGAATTTGCATGATAATGGAGAAAGGTGTATGTGAAATTTACATACATACCAGTTAGTAGTAAACACAGTGGGAAAAAAAATATAGGTGGATTGGGACTTCTAGATCTTTGGTGAAGGAGTAGCTTCTCTTTTTTACATGAGTTGGTCAAAGAAGACCTCTCCAAAGGGGATAAGAGAATATTCTAAACACTGGGAACATTTTAAGTAGGTTAGATAGTGAGGTGAGCATATATTTGGGATGTTGGAGGAATAGCAAGGATGTTAATATGACTGGAGCACAGTAAAGAAGCAGTAAGGCCAGGTGGTGGTGGCCCACACCTTTAATCCCAGCACGTGGGAGACAGAGACTGGCAGATCTCTGAGTTCAAGGCCAGCCTGGTGTATAAAGCTAGTTCCAGGACAGCCAAGGCTCCACAGAAAAACCCTGTCTCAAAAAGAAAAGAAAGAAAGAAAAGAAAAAAAAACAGCAGTACGAAAAGTAGTAGCTGAGGTTTGAAAATGGAAGATGGAAGGCAAACCAGATGAAGCAAGGCCTTGTATAGCAGAGTCAGGATTCCTGAGTGTAATGGAGGAATGTGTAATGTGTTTAAGATCACCCCAGCAGCTATGGGAAGGAGTGACCAGACTAGGGTTAGAGGACAAAAACCTGTTTCCAAATTCACATTTATACAGGTATGGATGGTAGCAGTGGTTGGAGGTAATGAAAATTGAGAAATGTTTTAAATATATTGCTAATAACTTATTATAGGTTGTATTAATGTGTAAGAAAGAGAAGCGTTAAGAGTGACCAAGTCTGTTTTTTTTTGTTATGAGATGCTGCGAGAATGGAATTTTCATGTGCTGAAATATTAGAAAAATATGGAAGAAATACATTGTTAAATGTATATAATTTTTTGAAATTATTATATTATTTCCCCCTTTTCCCTCCCTCCAACCTCTCCCTTACCCCTTCTCTTCTTGTTCTCTCTCAAATTCATATCCTGTTTTTCTTTACTTGTTAAACACACATACACACATATTCAGACCCCTAAATATATAACCTTCTCGGTCCATGTCATGTTAGCTCTATGTATATGATCTAGGACTGACCATTAGGTACTGGATAACCAATTTGGGGCCATTTCATGGTACTTTTACATGTTCTGTGTTCCATTCTGGACATGAAGGAGAAGTTGCTTTTCCTAGAGAAAAAAATGGAAATTTACATCAGTGACATATAAGAGATTCAGATTCCAGGTATTCGTGACATCACTGAAATTTATCTAAAACAGTAAAACAGACACTTTACATTTATGTTGTATATCTGTCTGAATATCATGAAGAACTTTTATCTGTCATTTGCCTGCTGCACATCAGTAACTGCTAGATACTTTTGTGTGTGTGTGTGTGTGTGTGTGTGTGTGTGTGTATTATATATAGTACCTTGATTTGGTTTTTTTTCCTCCATGATTATTTATTTACAAAGAAATACTTGTGTGCTTGCGGACATACAGATTTATAAAAAAATGACTATTTTGCATTTATTTTGCTTAAGATTTATATATAAATATAAGGTATGTGAAATCAATGAGAATATATATATATATATATATATATATATATATATATATATATATATATATATATAAATATTGCAATTAACAGATAAAGAACACTAACTGGCTATAAACAAGTGACTTGATTTTTCTGGAGTTCTATTTTGTATCAGCAAAATAATATGTCTGTTTGAAAAATCAAATCACAGGATTATCAAACAGTAAGTTGGAAAGCGTTGTTTTATACTTCCATATGCGTGCAGCTCAACCTCATGATATCTAATGATGTGTGTCTATTTAAATTTAGACCTACAAAAAATAAAATTACAAAATTATCTTCTCAGTTGCACTTCTCCCTTTTCACTGTCCATTTGTAAGTGGTCGATTTCACAATGGATAATGCAACTATAGAAAGTTTTGTTGCATAGTACTGCTATTTAGAACTATATTACATAACTTTCTTCAGAGTTTCTGGTTAGGTTTTTTTTTTCATTTTTTGTTTTGGTTGGTTGGTTGGTTGGTTGGCTGGTAAGTGTTTGTTTGTTTGTTTGTTTGATTGATTGATTGAGACAGGGTCTCACTGTGTAGCCCTGGCTGGCCTGGAACTTGCTATGTAGACCAGACTGACCTTGAATTCACAGAGATCCACCTGCCTCTGCCTTCAGAGGGCTGTGATTAAAAGCATGCGCCACAATTCCCAGCTAGACTTTTTGGTTTTAAAAGTTAATTTTGTTTTACCAACTTGTGAAATAAATGGAGATAGCAATAAAGAATTTACTTTTTCTAAGGATAAAAATAAAATGTAATTTACTTTTGTAATTTTGCATGTTTGAATACTTCATACATCAAACTTATAATCAGAAGTGCCTTACACCACAATAGGTGTAGAATTTTTCCCAGTAGATTCTATTTGATATAAGTTCATGTTGGGTATTTTGTATCATAGCAAATACTTTTGAAATTTAAAGACAACCTTTTTTTAAAAAAATGGAATAAAGTGCTTACCTGGTCTACATGAAATCTTAGAATTCATCTTCAGTATTTCACAAACGAATGATAATGAATGAATGAATGAATGAATGAATGAATGAATGAATGAATGACTCCATATAGCCCAGTGATAGCATAAGAGGTTGAGTATGATCCCTAGCACCAAAAAGAAAAAGAAAGAATATTATGGCATTATTTATAGTGCGAGATGGTAAAATAGTCACTTTTTAAAATTATAGAGATGTTAGTCAAAGAGAAATTTCAGGTCTCAGGGTTTGTGATTGGTAGTTGTTAGTGTCTCTAGAATATGGTGGTGTATAGCTATAATCCTAACGCTTGGGAGGCTGAAACAGGTGGATGACAAGAGACCAACAAGGTATACCACATACAGAGTTTAAAGGGCAGCTGGGACTGTATAGTGAGACCCTTTCTCATAAAAGAAAAGAAAACATATTTTAATATCATTTCTAATCATTTTTATAAACAGAATAAAGGAATACATCGTTGCCCAAAATGCAGACTACAATTTTTGACCTGCAAGGAAAAAACAGATCATAAGTTAGAACATCGTACATTTATAAAGCCTAAAGAACTAGAAGGATTGCCTCCTGGAACAAAAGTGAGTATTAAATGTGTTGTATTTTAGCATTTTGTCTAATAAACTCCTCGGCTGGGTATGGTGGGGGATGCTTTGAATCCTAGCACACAGTAGGCAGAAGAAGGTGGGATCTGTGAGTTCAAAGATAGCCTGATCTACATAGTGAAGTCCAGAACAGCATGACTCTGTCTCAAAAAAAATAAAGGAAGGAAGGAAGGAAGGAAGGAAGGAAGGAAGGAAGGAAGGAAGGAAGGAAGGAAGGAAGGAAGGAAGGAAAGGAAGGAAGGAAAGAAGGAAGGAAGGAAAGAAGGAAAGAAGGAGAGAAAGGAGGAAAGAAAAAGAAACCCCTGTCTGGTCTTATCTATTGAATATAATATAAAAATTTATCTAATTTTATTAAGAACTAAAGTTAAGGTTTTATTCTTTTTAATTTGTGTGTGTATATATGTACGCTATATGTTAAGAACTAAAGTTAATGTTTTATTACTCTCTGTTAATGTGTGGGGGGTGTGTGTGTGTGTGTGTGTGTGTGTGTGTGTGTGTGTGTGTGTGTGATGTGTTAGTACCTGTAGAAGCCAGATAAGAGCGTCAGATACCCTGGGGTTACAAGTAGTTGAAAGCCCCATCCTACATGAATTCTGGAAACCAAACTCAGGGCCTCTGCAAAAGCATCCATTGTTCTTAACTGCTGAGCCTTCTATCTCTTCAGCCAGGTTTCGTTATTCTTATGCTTGAAAAGTAAAACTTTTGAATGTTGTTTGAGTTGATTGACAGATGCCTTGTTGAAGTGACATCCTTTGTAGAGTCATTGTAGGATGAGTCTCTAAGTTGTTTTAGTACTCTGTAGGCTGTTTTTCTAATCTATTACATGCCTCCACTGCTAGACTACAAAACATTTGAGACTGGGAATCATGTTTAATTTATCTTTGTGTTCTGAGCATCTATCATAGTGCCTTGAATGTTATGGATGTGTTGAGGTTGATGTTACTGAATCTACTTTTAGAAAAACAAGTTCTTTTACTGGATAACATTACTGTTTTTAGTGAATAAGCACACATTTGACTATAAGTTTCATTTTCTGTGTTTGCCATATTTTTTCTCTGACTTCTTTATATAAAGTTTGCTCCTGAATATTTGGTCCAGCAGATGGATGAATAATCCAAAGTTATGTTGTTCCCAAGCTTTCATATTTGGCTTTTAGCGCATACTTTTGTGAGTATATCTGCTATTAGAATTACCTAAAATCAGATTACCTAAATTAATATAGAGCAATTGCCGTCAACATCTAGAGTAAGAAAAGCATTCCAGTGTAACGTCTTGCAATCCATTTATCCCATGTTGAGACTAGACATAGAGAAAACTAATGTGAACATTGCAAACCTCTCATATTTTCCATGTTGTAATACAGTAATAGTAATAATATCTATAAAACCCATGTCTTTTTTTATTATCTTCTAATTTATCCAGTCAGCCATCCAACAAGACAGGAGGATGAGTTAGTATTGTCCCTGTATTTAGATAAAGTGACTTAGATGGAATTAATTCTTTACTTAAAATCACAGGGAGGGGGCTGGAAAATGCATTTCTTTAGATACTCATATAGTTTACACTAACTTCTAATTATCCATTAATATCTGTGTTTACATATAAATGTTGCCAATATAAAACTATAATATTTCAATAGCAAATAAACATCCAACTAAACATCCAGTTTCATTTAACTGATAAGACCACTTAAAATATATGGGAAACGGGGCCAGTGAGTAAAGGTACTTGCCACCCACAATGCAAGTCTGAGGACCTGATTTCAATTTAAGGACCCATATAAACAGAAGAGAGACTCAATTCCAGAGTTATTCTTTGACCTCTACATGTGCACCAAGTATGCGCGCACGCGCACACACACACACACACACAAATAAACTACAAAAAATAGAATAAATGGAAAATATATCTAATTGTACCTTGTGTTTACTACTTTAAATAAATATTTGACATTTTGAATTATACTGGTTTTTGTAACAGCTTATTTAGAATATAATTCATGTACCAGACATTTTTCCACTTAAAGTGCTCAGTTCAGTGGTTTCATTAACATATTCAGAGTTGTGAAAACATCATCTTATGCAATTTTAGACCATTTGCATTATCAGTGAAAGGAACTCTACATCCATTAACAGTGAGTGTGTTATAGCACCACTCAATTATAGCAAGCTTTAGTCTCTTCCCTATGAATTTTTCCAGTTTGAAAATTCCATATAAAGGAAATCCTACAACAGATAGTCTTTGAGGATTTCTTTTATTTGGCATAATGTTTTCTAGGCTCATCCATCTTGTAGCATGTTTCAATGCTTCATTCCTTTCATAACCGAACATTTTCCATTGTATGTATATTTTCGTTCATCAGTTGGTGACATTTGATTTTTTTAGGCTGTGGCAATGATGCTATAAATATTTTTGTAAAAGTTTTTGTGTAAGCATCTCTTTTCATTTTTCTTGGGAATGTACCTAGGAGTAGAATTGTGGGCTCCTTTGCCAGCACTTATATTTAGTGTTTATATCTTCTTTGAAAAGATGCCTTCTTATCTATTTTGTCGTTTGCTTATGCTTTGGATGGCATATTTAAGAAGACATTTCCTGCAGGCCTGGTGGTGCCTTCAATCACAACACACATGGGAGGCAGGTGGATCTCTGTAAGTGTCCAGCTTGGTCTCTATAGTAAGTTCCAGGACAGCCAGTGCTACATAGAGAGACCCTCTTTCTCTCAAAAAAAAGTAGAAGTCATTGACTAACCCTCATGGTATGAGAATTTATTTCCATATTTTCTTCTGAGAGTTTTATAATTTTAACACTTAAGAGTTAATCCTTGATATATGTTAATTTTTATGTTTAATATGAAGTAAGGTTTCTAATTCATCCTTCTATATGTGGATGTCAGTCTTTACAGCACTGTTTAAATGTTTACAGAACTGCCATTCCTGCCTGAATTGTTTTGGCACTCTTGTATTTGATCATAAGTGTGAGGGCTTGGGCTGGCTGGAGAGATGCCTCAGTGGGTAAAATACTTGTACAAATGGGAAAGCTGAAGTTTTGGATCCCAAGCATCCCCATAGAAAAAATCTGAGTAGGTGTGGTGGCCCAACTGTAATCCCAGGATGTGGGAGGAAGAGACAGGAGATTCCACGTGCAAGCTTGCTAGCTAGACTAGTCAAATCAGCAAGCTCTGTGTTCAAGCGAGAGGCCCTGCTTCAGTATACAAGGTGGAGAGCAATTGAGGAAGACACCTGGTATCAAACTTCAGGCCTCCACATACACACGTGTGCCCCCACATACATGAACACACTCACACATATTAGATAACTAAATGTGAGCCCTTATAGGCAGTGGTTTTTGTTTTATTTTTCAAGATTTATTTATTTATTATGTATACAGTATTCCACCTGCATGTATGCCTGCAGGCCAGAAGAGGGCACCATATCTCATTACAGATGGTTGTGAACCACCATGTGGTTGCTGGGAATTGAACTCAGGACCTCTAACCGCTGAGGCATCTCTCCAGCCCCCAGGTGGTGTTTTTGATGCCACTTTAATAATCTAAAAATACATCCTGCCTTTGTTTTCCTAGGTTACTATTCGAGCTTCATTTGGATCTGTTCAGTCAAGATCGTCAAGCCCACCTTCGAGCCCTATTCCAAGTACTTCTCTTCAAGTCTCGTCTCCAACGTCTAAAAGTACAACTACTAAAAGTACAACTGCTAAAAGTACAACTGCTAAAAGTACAACTGCTAAAAGTACAACTACTAAAAGTACAACTACTAAAAATAACACAAAATTATCTGCAAATAAAAGTAAGATAAGTAAGGCTCAGACAGTTTTAAGCACGACGATAAGTAAACCCAATACAAGTAAATCAGGTACAGGTGCAACTAAATCCAAAGCCAAGCCATCCTACAAGCAGAAGAAACAGCGCACCAGGAAAAACAAATTCAGTATAGCTTTGAAGAACTTGAGGTACTATCTTGATTCATTATATGTGATACTAACTTAATCTCAAAAGTTAAATGTTTCTTTTAATGACTTACCACGTCACAGAACCTTCTTACACACTGAAAGGACAATTACTCTTCTACTATGACGACTAAGCAGATAATAAAATGGTACTTTTTTACAACTACTGAGCAGAATTTGAACTGCTGTGTTTATTCTGTGATTTTAATCTTTTTCACTAGTCTTAAACTTCATATTTTTACCTAATGACATTAAATTGCTTAACTAACCCCACCCTTTTTTTGGTTTTTCGAGACAGGGTTGCTCTGTGTAACAGTCCTGGCTCTCCTGGAACTCCCTCTGTAGACCAGGCTGGCCTGGAACTCACAGAGATCCACCTGCCTCTGCCTCCAAATGCTGGGATTAAAGGTGTGTGCCACCACCCTGCTTAACTAGGCCTTTTTATTCTAGAGGAATATTTATTTACATGTGTTAGATTTTTGCACTCATTTTAGCTTATTGCTTCAAAGCAAATTTTCAAAATTTAAATATCTATTTGATTTTTTTAATTCTTTTCTCATACAATATACCCCGACCACAGTTTCCCCTCCCTCCTCTCCTCCCAGTTCTCTCCCCCTCTCCCCCAAATCCACTGCTCCTCCATTTCCCTTCAGAAAAGAGCAGGCCACCCAGTGACATCAACTGAACATGGCATTACAAGATGCAGCAAAACTAGGCACAAACCTCATATCAAGGCTGGATGAGGCAACCCAGTAGGAGGAAAAGGGTCCCAAGAGCAGACAAAAGAGTCGGAGACAGCCCCCACTCACACTGCTTGGAGTCCCACAAAAAACTCTAGCTGAAGAACCACAGCATGTATGCAGAGGGCTTGAGGTAGACCCATACAGATTCAGTGATTGCCGCTTAAGTCTCTGTGAGCCCCTATTGGCCCTGCTTAGTTGATTCTGTGGGCTGTGCTCTCCTGGAGTCCTCAAGCCCCCTGGCTTCTCCACTCCTTCCTCCCCTCTTCCACAGTGTTCCCTGAGCTCCACCTAATGTTTGGTTGTGGGTCTCTGCAGCTGCTCCCATCAGCTGCTGCAGGGAGCCTCTCTGATAACAGTTGGGCCAGGCTCCGATCTATGAGTACAGCAAAATATCGTTAGGAATCATTCCATTGACTTTTGTTTTGTTTTGTTTTGGTCAGTCATGTTTGGTTCTACCTTAGATCTCTAAGCCATCTGCCTTCCAGTTCCTGGCCATCCAGGCAGTGTTGGGCAGTGTTGGGCATGGACTCCCTCTCATGGCTTTGGCCTCAAGTTAGACCAGTTATTAGCTACTCTCAGAATATTTTACATGTGTTAGGCTCTTAACATTCGTTTTAGCTTATTGCTTAAGAGCAAATTTTCAAAGTTTAAATATCTATTTGATAATCTTAAACATTTTCATTTCAATTAAATAATTATTAATAAAGGTTTCCTTATTATTTTGTTGTATAACATATTTTTATTATTTGTTTCTGTCTCCATAAGATGTCACCACGGAATTCACACGTGTATGGAGTGCCATTCCAAAATAAAAGATTTTTCAAGTCACTTTTCTACACACATAAATTGTGATTTTTGCAAGTACACCACTAACTGTAACAAAGCCTTTACCAATCATATGAGGTAAGTTGAGCATGTAAGGTGCCAGTCCAAATTACTTTTTAGAGCTTGGGGTGTAACTTCCTGGTATATACCATTGCCTAGCATGTGTAAAGCCCCAGCACCAAAAAAAAAAAAAATTGCCATCCATATTTGATGGAAAATGCCTGTAATCCCAGCACTTGTGAGGTGGAGGCAGAAGGATCCAGAATTCAAGCTTATTCCCAGCTATATATTAAGTTTAAAGGTAGCTTGGGCTTCATGAGACCCTGTATCCAAAATTACTACCCTTTGAGGAGTTTGTTGTTTGTTTGTTGTTTGTTTTAAAGACAAGTAAGTGGAAGTGTGAATCTAGAAATACAGAATGTCTAGGATCTTACTTGTATGTTTTCAAATGTAATAATTCATAAAACCACTGGGACAGAAATTATAAAACCAGCTAAATTAATACAATTAGAATGGCTTTATTAAATAAATGCATTAAAAAAACTTCTTTATTTCGTATTAGTATTTTGCCTGCGTGTGTATACATACACTGAGTAGGTACAGTGCCATAGAAACCAGAAAAGGGTGTCAGATTCCCGAGGGCTGGAGTCAGAGAAGACTGTGCGATGCCATGTGGGTGCTGGCAACTGCCTATCTCTGCCTCCTGAGTGCTAGAATTCAACACATTTGTTACTACAGCTCGCTTTTCTTGAAAATGATGATGCAAGATTGCTTTTATTTTCTCTACATAGTAGGTCACTTTGAAGGACTTGCCCGCACGTTTTGACATCTTCAGCTTTTTCTTACCTCGGTATCGGCCTGGCCTCGTGGCACTTTAGCTTTAGTGTAGTACTTCATGTACACTTTTGACTTACTAAATCCTGTTGCCGTGACACATTACCTCATTATATGAAACATTGGTTTCAGTTACTTATTGACATAGTTCTTGGAGCCTTGACCTCCCTCCCTCCCTCCCTCCCTCCCTCCCTCCCTCCCTTCCTTCCTTCCTCCCTCCCTCCCTGTCCTTCCTTCCTTCCTCCCTCCCTCCCTCCCTGTCCTTCCTTCCTTCCTCCCTCCCTCCTTCTCTCCCTCCCTCCCTTCCTTCCTTTCTTTTTATAAGGGACACAAATCCTATGTGTAAGGATTCTACCTTTGTGACCTAGTTACTTCCCAAATATTTTCTTCTAATGCCATCACATTGATTGAGGTGAAGGGGAGGTTAGGATTTTAATGTATTAATGGGTACATTCTTGCTCAGACCATACCAGGATCAATATAATCTCATCATTTGTGTCATTAACTTCTATTCAAAATTAAGAAATTAAGCATAGACTTGAAAACATGCTCATAAAATTAATATGACTTATTCAATAATAAAAGTAATAAAATCTTGTTTGTCTTTTTTCTGTCAGCTCTCATAGTGACCACCCAAGTAAACAGTTTTATATTTTTAAGAAACATTCAAGAGCAATCAGGTAATTAATTGATCTTTTTCTGCTCTTTGTATTAAAAAGTTGTAATTACATTTTTTAACCAGGTGTTGGTATACATCGTTTGAAAATCTAAGCGATTGTCACTGAATATGATAGACTTATGTTTGTTATATTCTTAGAACAAAGGAAGGGATAGCCTGTCATATGACTAATCTCTGTTTCAGTGGTGCCAGATATTGAATTGAAACTTTCATGCATTTACACTGTAAAATTAAAATAAAAGTCTCTTTAGCAGTACTTGTTTGGGAGTAAGTTTATTAAAATACTAACATACTTGAAATTAATATACAGTGTTTATAAATGTCAGCTTTATTCTTTTTAAATGTCCTTTAATTTATTATGTGTGTGTGGGTGTCTTGCTTGTACCTGTGTCTGTGTACCACATGCATGCCTGGTATCCACGGAAGCCAGAAGAGAGCATTGGATGCCTGAGACAGGAGATTCAGATGGCTGTGAACCACCATGTGCATTCTGAGACTCAAACTTGGTTCCTCTGGGAGAGCAGCCAGTGCTCATAACTGAGCCATCCCTCCAGCCTGTCACTTTTACTCTCTATGAACAAAAGTATACAACTTCTTACTATACAGAAAAACTGTTCGGTCACTATTTCTAAAGGCATTGGTTTTTGTTATATCACACATTTTGCTCAGAATCAATTAAGTATTGTGGGATTTTTTTAAATTCTTCTGATGGATTTTTACTCCATTTTCTTTTTTTTTATTGTTATTATCCCACTCATGTTTTCAGACACTAAATTGTGCCTGGCATATAATAGACACTTAGTTAAGTTAGAATATGTACTAAAAAATATATATCTGTGATATTAGGTCATTAGCTCATAAAAGAAAGAAAGTTTGATGCCATTTTTTAAAAATACATCAGACTTGGAGAGGTGGGTTATGGGTTAAGAGTACTTGCTGCTCTTGCAGATAATGAGAGTTTAATCCCCAGCACCCTTATCAGGCATATCATATCAAAACCCTGTGACTCCAGCTCCAGGGGATCCAGGGATCTTCTGGCCTCTTCAGGCAATGCATATATGTGTGCATATACTCCTCCCATGCACATAATTCAATACAATCTTAAAGTATATATATAGTTGTAGCACTTAGGGAAGCATGCCTATGACCCCAGCACTAGGGAATCTAAAACAGAAGGATAGTGAGCTCAAGGCCAGCCTGATCTACATAGCAAGTTCCAAGCCAGCCTGTTACCTGTCTCAAAGTAACAACAACTAATAATAATAGTAGATAAATGTTTTTTTTGTTGTTGTTGCTTTGAGACAGGGTTTCTCTGTGTAGCTTTGTGCCTTTCCTGGAGCTCACTTGGTAGCCCAGGCTGGCCTCGAACTCACAGAGATCTGCCTGCCTCTGCCTCCCAAGTGCTGGGATTAAAGGCATGCGCCACCACGCCCGGCTCAGATAAATGTTATTTTTAAAACATGACTGATTCAATGAATTACAAAAGAAAAGTATATTAGATAGTACATTTACTGGGAATATTTGTAAGTAATAGGAAATGGATTTTTAAATATTATTTTATGTTGAATTGTTTATTCTTTACCTATTTATTGTTCATCTATCATGTGTAATACAAAGTACCAAGTCATGTTCAGATCAATGATGAAGAAGACTTGCTACCAACTTTCGAGAATGTACAATTTAAGCTGGGTATGGTGGAAACATGCCTTTTGTCCCAGCACTCAGGAGGCAAAGGCAGGTGCATCTCTGTGGATTCAAGGCCAGCCTGGTCTATATAGAGAGTCCCAGGACAGCCAGAGCTACATAGTGAGGCCCTGTCTCAAAACAACGTACAATTTATTGGGAGGATATAAACAAATGAACATAAATAAATACAGTGATATCAGGAAATTTGTCATAAATACAGTGAGTTACTTATTTCAAAGGAAATAGAGGTTTCTACTTAAAAGATGCATGAAGAAGCATGAATTGGCATGCAGAAACAAAAAGAAGAAAGTTGACATGGACTTCTGAGTCACATTGAATAACTACTAATAAAGTTTGAGTGGAGCACAAATTTCATGATTAGATCAAAATATGGTGAAATCATTTTGAGCTTTGAGACACATTTTTTTTTAATCCAAAAAATGGTTCTAAGGAATTAAGAATTAATTTTACTTTGAAAGACATTGAAAAAGTCAAAACAGATGCTTTGAGTAGAATCAAGAACATGGAAAGAAAATCAGTTTGGAAGAGTATATGTGGTGAGTTGTAGCTGCACAAACCACACAGTAGTTAAGGCTGTTATTTAGTTATTGATTGGGCTGGGACTAGAGAGATGGTAAAGTGGTTAAAAGCACTTGTTGCTCTTACAGAGAATCTAGGTTCAGTTCCCAGCACCTACACATGGTGGCTTACAACCATACATAATTCTAGTTTCAGTGGAATCTAATGTTCCAACTTCAATGGGCACCAGACATGCATGGGGTATGCATACATACATGTAATCAAAACACTCATACACTGAAAATAAAATAAATCTTTTTTAAAAAATCCCAAAAGAAAGAACAGGGGGCCTAGTGAGATGGCTCAGCGGTTAAGAGCACTGACCACTCTGCCAGAGGACCCAGGTTCAATGTTCATCACCCACATGGCAGCTCAAAATTGTAACTCCAATCCCAGGGGATCCAACACCCTCCTACAGACATACATAAAGGCAAAACACCAATGAACATAAAATAAAAATAAATTGTATTTTTTTTAAAAGAAGCCCAGTGGGGCAGTGGTGGTGCATGCCTTTAATCCTAGCAACTCAGGAGGCAGAGGCACACGGATCTCTGTGAGTTCAAGGCCAGCCTGGTCTATGGAGCGAGTTCCAGGACAGGCTCCAAAGCTACACAGAGAAACCCTGTCTCAGAAAAAAAAAATATATAATTAAATTAAAATCTTACAATAAAGCTTATGGGCTATTTTTTTAAAAAAAGAACAGAAAATGGGTTGTGGAATCAAAGGGCTAAGTTTCAAACATGGGGCTAGCCTTAGATAAGTTACTAAACGTGACTCTTTAGAAAAGTGGTCATTATAGCACCTAAGTTTTAGGGGTGTTTAGGTCATTTGTTTAGAAGAGATAGGTCTAAAACCTCCAGTTTAGTACAGTGTAAATGATATTTGAAATTGTTATTAGATATTTGAAATATTGTTTTTATTTGAACCTCAGAAGCAAGGAAATGGCAGCATAAGAGAAACCAGGAATAAAGGGTTGTTTCGGGGAGGAAAACATGATTTTGATTGTTCAAGGACACTTTTTTATGTGTATAACACTTAGTCTTAAATATAAAACAGGATGGTAAGACCAGAGCTGCAGAGAAAAAAATCAGCATAAGGTATACTACTGGGTTTTAGACCTATAAAGGTAAGGTGTTTCATATGATAAAGCCGGTTGTGGTGGCTCACACCTATAATTCTAGAACTGGGGAAGGGAGGTAGGAGCATCCTGAGTTCAAGACCTGACTGGGCTAATAGTGAAACCCTGTCTCAAAGCAAACAAAACACAAGTAAAATATCAAGTATGTATGTGCTTTATTGATAAAGTAATAATTATATTAAATGGCTAAATTTAAGGCCTTCACATCTCTTCTAACTTTATTTGGACTTAAATACACTAGATTATATGCTTCTATATACTGTACTGTTTTGTTTGCTGTTGTATCCAAAATGCCTAGTAATTTGATGTATAGAGAACATCCTAGGGCTTATTTTTAGTTTGTTAAAGAGACTCCGTTCTGTTTTCCATAATATTACAAATGTACACTTCTAACAACATTGTGTAAGAGATTTTTCTCCATTATTTTCACCAGCATGTGTTATGTTTTGTATATTGATATAAACCATTCAGACTTGAGTGAAATGATATCTCATTGTGATTTTCATTTATATTTCTTTGGCTAATGATTTTGAAATCTTTTTCAGACCTCTTGACTATATTTCTTATTTAGAGATCTTTTGCTCAACTATTTGTGAAAAATTGTGCTGTGTTTTGTTCAGGTGTATATGCATCTGTAATAATATGAAGAAACAAACAAGATCTTCAGCCAGAATGGATTTTGAATGAATGTTATGTTCTTGCTTGGCAGATAAGCCAAGGCATGGAATCACTGTGACTTATACAAGTTATACAAGTTGCTAGAGGATCCAAGACTGCTTTGGGTCTCTAGATGCCCATCTTTTAGCAACAGATTGAGAGTATACAACTTATAAAGCACTAAATGATCGCATAATTTAGCTATGGGTAGGCCAATTTCTTGAGAATCTTTTTGTTTTCATGGTCAAGTGATCAAATCTAGAGCTTTGCACATGGAAGGCAAATACTGTCTACAACTTATTAGATATATTTATAACAAATTGGGAAATGACAGTGATAGCACATAAAATAAAAATCAAGAGTTGTTACATGAAACAACAATTACTGAATTTATGTGTGGATTGCCACATGATCTTCTGTCTTACGACTCTTCTCTCTTTTCATAGGGGCATCACTCTAGTGTGCCTTAAATGTGACTTCCTAGCTGATACTTCTGGCTTAGATCGTATGGCTAAACACTTAAATCAACGTAAAACTCATAGTTGCCAAGTTGTAATAGAAAATGGTATGTACATGTGTCTATTATTATGAATTTATGATGTGCATGAGCCAGTAATTTGAATCGATTACAGTGTGAGCTCTTACAAATTAAACTGATACTCAGTCTTCGTGTGTTACATTTATAAACATAAAGCCTTCTCTGATTTCAGTTACTGAAAGAACTTCTGAATCCACTTCTGAGTAAGTTTATTTTCATTCAGCACAATTTACTTTGATAGATTTTAGTACTGTTGCAATTTTTAAATGTATCGTTAATAGAAATGAAAAATATTAAAGTATTTTGTTTTTGTTTTTGTTTTAAAGCGGCTTGTTGAAATAGATTCCTGCTCTATGGAGCTCGTGCAACCTGGTGCAAGACAAGTTGGAATTTCCTAAGTTCAAAGTTCTGCAGTGTTTGCTTTCACAAATCCAGTTTCCTAAGTTCAAAGTTCTGAAATGTTTCATGAAGGCAGTTAAAATCCACAACACTAGCTCTCATTACTCAGCTCTTTTCAGCTTTCAGATGGCAGGAGATTCTTATTCCACCTTATCTTTGTGTCAGGTTAACATATCTTAACATGTACTTTTCTTCTCCAGTTGACTCTGAAAAAAGAACTTTTGCTATAGTCTTTTCTTGCTTTGCTTCACATAAGTTGTGTTTTTCTCTGCTGTACTTACCTTCAGAATATTACATATGAAACAGTGTAGCTCTTCCTATTTCTTTTTGTGTGTTTTGTCTGCTTCTTAATTTCTTATAAGTCTTGCTGGTCAGTTAGCTGCTTTTTCCTTCATTCTTTGTCTGTCATTGTTCTATTTTTCGTATTTTTCAGATCCAGATGCAACACAGAAATTTCAAAAAATGTCCAGTGTACTCCTGGACAGTGTCCCCCTTCGATGGACACAACTGATGCCTGTTCTCTCTTTCCAAGGAATGTGAATTGTTTGACTGTGAGACCTGTTTCAATTTGTGGTCTTGGGAATTTATCAGTTCTTAGGCACAGTCCTTTCCTACCTGACTGGCCTTACATAAGGCTGATGTTGATTTGGCCATCAGTGACTTCAAGGGCCAACAAATTGAGCACAACTTCTCTCTGGGAGCTTTGGTTCTTAAGTTTAGGCTTATGAATTGATTATAACCATGAAACTCCATCAAGTAAGTGCTTCAACATCCAAGTTCAAGTTTAATCATTCTGGCTGTACCCTTTTAATCTTCCTCTAGCATGAATGCAGTCTGAGGTATATGAAAAGCCTGATTGTGTAGGGAGTGGAGATGACTTTGATTTTCTTGGGAAAGCAAACTTTGTGAAGTTCTAGCTCAAAAGTAAGTTATTTATGTTGGTTGTCCTTTAAAGTTTTAGCCAGTATTTCACGAGTTCTCAGCAGTGCTAGCATTTAAATTCCTAATTTTTAGAAAATTAAAGTTTGATAGATTGATTTTTGTCATTCACCAAATTTATTGATGTCTACTTTGTATGTCAACTTTTGTGATTTCTGATTAAATCTTTTGTTTTGTGTTTGTTAAAAATGCCAAGAAATTTCTTTAGTATTTTCTTCAGATTTCATGCAGCTACCTGTTGGTAGTTTCTTTCTTTTTTTCTTTTCTTTTGGTTTTGGTTTTTTGAGACACGGTCTCTACTATATAGACCAGGCTAACCTTGAACTCACAGATTTCCACCTGCCTTGGCCTCCTAGGTGCTGGATTTAAAGGCATTGTGGTACTTGTTCAGGTCATTAGACATGAATATATGCTCTGTCTATCTTGAGACTCTCAGTACATCTTAGGGGTAAGGAATTCTAAGACAAGAGCAAACACTCCCCTTACAAATTTTAAAACACATTTGAAGTTACATTGCTATTCACTTAGTAGTTGTCTCCTTAGCCATTAATGTAATTCCTTTAGATAAAGATAATATATTCAAAAATATTGGGACCAAAAAATGCACTTGTTTCTTGCCCACATATATATAGAGAAAGATGTATATTTTTTTATTTTGGTGTTTGTTTATTTTGGTTACATCAAATATAGATTTTTCTGAACAGTTTTGATGTTGCTTATTTTTTTAATAAAATTTGTATTGTTAAACACTCTTGAGAATTATTTTATAATAAGTTGATATAAAAGCCTATAGATTGTATCATATAACAAGAAGAATTGTTTTCCCTTTCACACGGAAGCCTACCTGCTTTGCCTATAGACTGAGATCTTTACAGAATACATCTTGCACTGTTTCTTTAAGCTCACTTAAAAGCTAACTAATTTGAACTATTTTACAAGCTAGCAAAAGATGGGCTGAAGAGATGGCTCAGCTGGTAAGAACCCTGACTGCTTCCAGAAGACTCAGATTCAATTCCAAGCACCCATATGGTAGCTCACAACCATCTGCAATTTCCGTGCCAAGGAATCTTATGTCCCATTCTGGCTTCCGCACACAGCAGGCATACATGTGGTGCACAGATGTACATGCAGGCAAAACACCCATACACATAAAATAAAATTTGTTGTAAATTTTGATACAGGGTCTTTCTGTATAGCCTTGGCTGTCCTGGAACCTGCTGTGTAGATCAGGCTGACCTTAAACTCACAGGGTTCCATCTGCCTTGGCCTCCTGATTGCTGAAATTAAAGGCATGCACCACCAAACCTGCACTAAAAAAAATTTTTTAAAGCTAGCAAAAGACTTGTTTTCTTAATTATGGTGAAAGGAAGCAGGGTCTGAAGTCCCAATTCAGTCATGAGGGTTTTGGTTTGTTAGTTGCTTTTTTGTTGTTTGTTTTGATTTGATTTAATTTAAAGTCAGATCTATATGAGTGTCTTTGAAACATACTAAAAGCTAATTCAAGTGGTCACTTGTTATGTAGTATATCCTTTGCAATCATAATCAAGAGTTGATTTCAGGGGCTGGAGAGATGGCTCAGCAGTTAAGACCACTGGATGCTCTTCCAGAGGACCCTGGTTCAATTCCCAGCAACCATATGGCAACTCACAACTATCTGTCCAGTTCCAGGGGATCTGACACCTTCATACCAATGCACATAAAATAAAATTAAATAAATTATTTTTAAAAAAGAGTTGAGGCCAGGCAGTGGTGGCGCACGCCTTTAATCCCAGCACTCGGGAGGCAGAGGCAGTCGGATCTCTGTGAGTTCGAGGCCAGCCTGGTCTACAAAGCAAGTTCCAGGAAAGGTGCAAAGCTACACTGAGAAACCCTGTCTTGGAGAGAAAAAAAAAGAGTTGTATTCATTGAGTTAATTTTTCATACTGATACCTGCTACCAGTGTATTTCAAAATCTTTGATATTGACTTCCTTTTAAAGTAGTGACTTTGGTGATGCTCTAGACTTTTATTTCTGTACCTGACTCAAGGAATTTTATTGTTAGTTACTACATTTCCACTCAATTTTTAAAACATTTTGTTTTAGCAGTATTAATGAAAACCCAATTTTTAAGTTTTAAACTCATACCTTTCTTTAAATAAAACATTTCAGGCAATCAGTACTAAGCTTGCTTATATAAGTTTGAGTTGGTAGTAAAGAGTTTTAGCTTGACATACCCTCTTTTCCTTCAGGCTCTTCTAAGTCTTTTCAATTCCATATAGCTATCACATGATACTGCATAGTGGCTTTTTCCCCAATTGAATGAAAGAATATAGTTGTTTACTTTTACTTCATTACCTTACTAGAAAAATAATCACTAGCTGAGTAGTGGTGGCACACACCTTTAATCCCAGCACTCAGGCGGCAGACGCAGGTGGATCTCTGTGAGTTTAAAGCCAGCCTGGTCTACAGAGTGGGTTCTGGGACAACCAGAACTACACAGAGAAACCCTGTCTCAAAAAATCAAAAATAATAATAATAATAATCACTAAACTATAAGACTTATTTCCTTGCCCTCCATTTTGACAACACATAGTTGGAGCTCATTGGTTTGTTCAGCAAACATTTGTTGAGAACTTACTAACTGCCACTGTTCTAGGTGTTTCAGTTACTGAAATCACTGCCCTTGAGAAATGTGTATTTCAATAGTGGGGGACAGACAATAGAAAATAAATAAGTCCTAAATACTTCAAAATAAAGGACTAAACAAAGACTTTCTGAAAATAACTAACAGCTCAATAAATGGTTGTAAGAATCGATAAAAAAAGGATAGCTTGAAATTAAAAAGCTTCTTTGGAGCAGCAAAGGAAGCAGTCAAAGTGAAATGACAGCCTAGAGAATGGGGACAGACATCTTTGCCAACTATATATCTAACATGGAATTAGTATATAAAATCTGTCAAGAAATACGTTGTTACATGTAGTTAATATATGCCAGTAAAACTATAAAAACCACCAAACAAAAGAAATACAAACACTGAACAAATAACCCAGTCAATAAATCAAAAGACATTCTTCAAAAGAAATGGAGGGATGGTTCAGCAGTTAAGAAAGCTGGCTGCCCTTTCAGAGGACTGAGGTTCAATTTCTGGTACCCAAGGGCTGCTATAACCATCTACAACTGATCTGATGCCCTCTACTGGCCTCCATGGGCACTACATGCATGTGGTGCACAGACAAGGGGAAAAAAACAAAGTAAAAATTCATCTCAATTTTAAAGAATACGGCTGTTAGGATTGCTCAGTGAGTAAAGGTCTTGCCACCAAGCCTGATAACCTGAGTTTGACCCTTGGGACTCACATTGTGGAAAGAGGGATCTGGCTCCTACAAGTTGTTTTCTGACCTCTACATGTGCCCTGGCATGCATACACACAAAATAAATAATGTATCTTTTCCTTCAAAGATATACAAATGGCTGATAAATACAAAAAAAGTATATTCAACACCCTTAACCATCAGGAAAATGCACATTTAAACTGTATTGAGATTACATCTTGCCACAGTCTATGAATGACCATCATCATAAGGTTGTGGGGAAAGAACACTTACATACCTCTGGTAGGAATGTAAACTCATGAAAACACTATGGAACTCAATGAGGTTCCTCAAAAAAATAGGAAAAATGAGGAAAAAGTGAATAAATAAAGAAAAGATAGCATATATGTACAATGGCGTTTTTGTCAGCCATCATGATGGTAATTGTGTCATTTGCAGGAAAATAGGTGGGACTAGATCTTATTGTGTTGAGTCAGTCAGATTCAGACAATTATCACATTTTCTTTCATACCTGGAAAGTAACTAGTGGTGGTGGTGGTCTTTGTGTGTAAAGGAGAGGGACCATGGGATGGGGAACAAGACAGGATGATGATGAGATAGAAAAGAGAAAGACCATGTTTTCTCATGTGGAGCCTAGAATAAACCATTACTTTTTTTCTGTGTATAGGTATTTTGCCTGCATGCATGTCTGTGCACCATGTGTATTCAGGTGCCCTTGGAGTGTCATCACCCCTGGAACTGGAGATATAGGTATTGTAAGTCACACACTGTGGGTGCTGGGAATTGAAGAACCTGGGTCCTAAGAAAGAGAAGCAAGTGCACTTTACCGCTGAACCTACTCTCCAGCCCAGGCAGAATGTCTTTTTTATAAAGAGTTTGGGTTTAGTTTTCCTTAAATTGCATGGAACTTATTCCTAACTACACCATGTTCTTGGTCTCATCATAATACCTTAGTTCTCGGACCTCGATGCCTTTCTGTAGCCTTGCTCTTACTCTTTTGTATTTGACCACCTTGAAGAGTTTCCTGAGCAAACTTAGGGGGGCTGTTGTGTTTCTCTCCTACTCTAGCGATCACACTGTTATATATGATGGTGTGTTTAGAGAGCAGTCTTGAAATCAGCATTCTAGGGGTCAGGCTGGAGAGAGGGCTCAGAGGTTAAGAGCACTGTCTGCTCTTCCAGAGGTCCTGAGTTCAATTTCCAGCAACCACATGGTGACTCACAGCCATCTGTAAGGAGATCTGGTATGTGGAGGCCCACAAAGGTTTCCTAGTGAGATCTGAGCTTTCTTTACCCAGCAGGGCTGCATCAGAGGATTGTGTAACCACGTGTGTTGTTACAAGGTGATTGGAAGGGTCTACACTTGGCTGAACTAGGGGGAGGTCTTTTGCTTCACCCCTTGGCATTCCAATAAATAGCCCTTTAGAAGAGACAGAAGGAGCCAGTGGATATGATCCAGGCCCTCCCAAGGCTATCCTGTGTTTCTATCTGTTTCTCTCCCTTCCATCCTTCTATCTAATACCTCTTATCCCTCTCAAGAGTACCCTGTCGTAAAATGTGGGAGCCAGTCTCCCAGCTGGGCTTCCACAAATGGGGCCTGAACAGGGGACAGGGGACTTGGCAAAATTAGAGAGGGGGCATTGTGAGTGAAAGAGGGCATGCCTGATAAGGAATTAAAAATAAAGGCGACGGTGTTTTATCCTTGGGAGTGAAAAGTAAGGCAGCTGAATACCGAAATTGAAAAGTGAGGTGCGGCCAGGCGGCGGCGCACGCCTTTAATCCCAGCAATTGGGAGGCAGAGCCAGGCAGATCTCTGTGAATTCCAGGCCAGCCTGGGCTACAGAGTGAGTTCCAGGGAAGGTGCAAAGCTACACAGAGAAACCCTGTCTTGAAAAAAAAAAAAAAGAAATAAAGAAAAAAGTGAGGTGCAGCAAATATTTCTATCTAGGTTTCTTTCTTTTTCTCTTTTAATTTCTATCTAAAAAATAAGGAAATAATATAAGGTAGAATGTAGGAATATAGTGTAGAAAAAACTTAGGGTAAGAAGGAAAAATATAAGGTAGAATATAGGAATATCGTGTAAGAAAATAAAACTTAGGATAAGAAAAGCAACAAGACAGAGGAGCTGTGTTCTTGGGACTCTGACATCAAACTCCTGGGGAAGAATCCCAGTCATGAAAAAATACTATGAAAAATAAAAAAAAACAGGCAGAAAAAGATTCCTGTGGAAGCTCTGAGCCTGTGAAGATGCAGAGGTCCACAGCCAAGCGCCCAGATTCCATCATAATCTACCTGATTAGATGCTATTCTAGTAGGAAAGAGTTTTTGTTTAATTTTATTACATTTATTTATTTAATCATTTATTATGTGTGTATGTGTATGGGTGTGTGCACGAATCTTAAAAGGTCTTAATAAAATCAAACCTGGACCCAGGTAT